AAAAAAAAAAACAAAACCCAATATGCCAGCTCCTCCTCAAATCAAGTTGACCTCACACCCACCACATCGAATTCTCAAACGCCATAATCGCATCTGCACGACCGCCCCTCTGACCAGGTTTGATGAGTGGACGAGGTAATGATGAAGTATCATCCGACGAAGACGTCTTGGTCGTCTTGCTATCTGACTTAGCCATCATGCCGCGCTTGAGCACCGGCAGAGACATGGGATTGTTGTCGACAGTAGTAGACTGCTGCTCCGTCTGCCCGGCCGGCGGAAGATCCTGGTCAATATGTGCCACGCCGCGCCCAGCCGCTAGATGGGCGTAGTACACGGCCGGGTGAAGAGAGACAGGCGTGGTCGAGCGGCAGTACTGATAACATTGGTTGTAGAGCAGGCGCTGCAGCTCGGCGGGATCCATCTTGACCTCGTCATGAATCACGTTGTAGTGGACGGGGCGAGCGGTACCCTGGATGGCGGCGTGCGAGCATAGGTAGAAATCGTAGTGGAAAGGGTGAGTCACCTCGCGCTCGACCAGCGTGCCGGGCAGCGGGTTGCCGTTGCGGTCGCCGCGCTCGGGGAAGAAACGAATGTGATGGCTCTTGGTGCAAATAATGACGGTAATCTTGGGCTTCGCCTTCATGTACTGCTCAAACACTGTGCGCAGGGTTCGGAGCTCCCACTCCATGACATGGGCAAACTGGCCCTCCGATACGCCGTCGCGCAGGTAAAAGACGTGATCGGGAGCGCGGTTGTGCTTGCGGGCCCACTTACTGAGGATGGGGGCGAGCATGGAGTGCATGTTGTGAGGCTGTACAATCTCGACACCCCAGCCGTTGGTCTGGACGGCAGCGCTGTAGATAGCGGCATCGCGATCCATCGAGACACACATGGCCGCGATGGACGGAGCGCCCGTGCCCGACGTGTGGCCGCCATGCGACACATCGACGCCAATCATCATGGTCGGCGCTTTGAACATGGGCGTATGCTCCTTGCTCATGTGCGGCGTGACGCGGCAGTTCTGACCGCCCAGTTTTGCGTTCACCTTGAGGCAGACGTTGGAGATATACTGGGCGTTGGCCTTGCGCGCCTGGAAGGCCTGGATCATCTGCGTCGGGATGGCGAAGCGACACTCGGCATTCTTTTTGAGTCGCTCGTACAGAAACGTCGACTTCTCGCGGAGAATGAAGAATATGATTTGGGGCGTCTGCTTGTTGTGCTGGCCAGTGGCCGTATAAGCCCTCTGAACCAACTCGGCGTGGGGCATGTTCGGGGGCGGCGTAAAGATGTAGGGCTCGGCCTCGACCCTGCCGCCATGGTTGATCCATATCTTTTTGAACTCGCGGCCAAAGTTGACAAGCGAGGCATTGTCGATGGAGCGGTCGACCGCCACCAGGGCCCACGAGCGCAGGGCGGTAGGCATGTTGCGGAAGCGGACGCCACGAAGATCCCAGCGGCCCCTCTGCTCAGGGTTCTTGGGCATGGAATCAGCCGCGTAGTGCACGTACGGGTTAGGAAGCACGCGAGCCTCCACCTGGGCCGGCTGGTCGGCGATGGAAATACCAAACTCACGCAAGTAGGGGTCGCGGCCCCAGTCGAGGTTCTGAACCATGTTCAGTACCTCCCTCTTGCGCTCGGGAGGTCGCTGCACGGCAAACTTAATCATCTCGGACGTTTGCTGCGGGTCGAGCTTGAAATTGTACCGGTTGAAGCGCACAACCTGACAGAGCTCCATGGGGAAGAGCGCGCCCTTCCCCGTCTGGACCAGCGGCAGATCCGGGTAGCGAAGCCGGATCTTGTACTCCTGGGCATAGTAGTTGGCGACAGAGATCTTCTCTGTCTGATCAGTACCCTTGATCCTCCTCTTAAACTCAGTCTTGCGGGCACTGCCGCCGTCTGGGGTGGCCTCGAAAAGGAACTTGTCAATCTTGAACTCAACGCGACCACGATCTTTGTCGCGGTGCGTGATCTCAAAGGTGAGGCCGCGTAACCTCTTCAGGGCCTGGAAAGCCTCCGACTTCTCGAAGACGCCCTTCTTATTGACAGGGCGCAGTTCCTTGATGAGCATGTCGTCCGACACTGGAAGGAGACGGATGTTAGCATAGATAGGTAGGCATGAAGAGGACCACATATACGTGGACAGTGAGGGGTCAAGCATCCCAACCTACAGTTGTCCCAGCGGCGATCGACAGCGCCCAGATAGCTGCGGACCAGAGGAATCAGACCCTGACCGGTCCAGAATGTCTGGTTGGTGACATCGACGTTGATGCCTAGGCCAATCCCGCCCGTGCTGAGCGAGTCATTCAAGCGGACGGCGGCATAGATGCCCTTGATGGCCTCGGTGAAGGGGCTGAGGCGGCGAGTCTCCGAGTTCTCGTTGAAGAAGGAGCGCTTGATCTGAATCATGCGTTCCGATGGACCCTGGCGCAGGGCATGGTCAAGGAAGTTGATACACTCCAAGACCGAGTTGCTCCACGCCGCCTGGCCGCGGAGATAGGCCATCAAGGACTCCATGCGAATCTTGGTGCTGCGGCGCACCTTCAAGGTGAAAATGTTGTTGGCCTTACCAGGGTGACCCTCAGCGGCGCCGAGGTCAACATTAACCGAGAATTGGTCCACATTGGCCCGGGACCAGGCCAGCTTGCGACCATCGTGTAGCCAGAGGTTGCGGGTGCTCTTGAGCTTCTGCTGAACGATATCGCTAGCCCATACTTTCTTGTAGACAACGGTACCTTTTGGCTCAGGGTCAATAGCCACCTGTTCGAGAGTTAGTCTCCTAATCCGTCTTTCTTTCTTTCTTTCTTTCTTTCTTTCTTTTTCCCTCAACTATTTCACTGAGGGGAGGACATACGTCGAACTGGTAGATATCGTTAGACTTGACGGCACGAACGCGGAACTGGTTGACGGTGACCTTGGCCGGGGTGCCGGCAGTGCTGTACTTGGGACGACGAGCAAACGGTGTTTGGTGCTGGTCTGCCATCCAATAAGCCTCGGGAGGGAGATCGCAGCGCTTATTGAGGCCCTCGGGCACCTTGAGCTCAACGCTCTTATTCTTCTTCCCCTCGCTCGTGGCGGTCATTGTGACTCAATGAAAAGAGAGATACTTAAAGATGTTAGCGGACAGTTCAAGAGATTCGATGCCGACGTCGACGTCGATGAGTACTCGTAGTAAATAATGAGAGAACAAAAGGGCGAGGACTATGAGTATGCTGTTTGAAAAAAAAATGCCAAATTACCAGACCATTCAATTTTTTTTTCTTGTGTTTGTTTGCCTTTTCGTTTTTTTGTGTATGTTGTGTATATGTGTAAATGAGGTATAGTAGAGAAGTATACGAAATGTTTCAGAAGAAATATATACCAGAGACTTGGAACCCAGGGAGGGGGTGGGGGGGGGGAAGGGAAATGTTTGAAGAAAAGAAGGGTTGAAGACCAGCAGGCAGGCAAAGAACAGGCTGGCGTGTAAGACGGCAGCTTACCGAGAGGTTGAAAAAGCAGAAGTGATGAGATACTGGGAAAGCGTTTGCTGGAGGTCTAGAATGACAGGTTAGCGGTGTTTGTTAGAGTCAAACGGAGAGCTGCGTTTGAGATATGTGTGTCACAGAGTAAAGAAAAATAAAGGATGTGATGATTTCGGCTCAAATCAAGGCGTATAGGAAAGATACCTGAATGCGTCCAGAGCCAAAGCCAGTGCTTACCAAGAGACCTCACGGCCAGTCCAGTCCTCAAGCTACGCTGGAATCAGAAAATGTCCGGGAAGAGAGAGATGCAGCACGGTGGGAGACTTGGTGAAGTACACGCTGGGTATACCTGAATAGTAGAGAAGGTCAGTGATGGTCAGGAGCCGGCCAGACGACCATCCGGAGAGTAATCAACCAATTTGACCCGGGTGTCTAGGTAAAATATGAAGCGTAAAGGTATGGGAGATATGGCAAAGAGGGATCGCGATAGTGATGATGACAGTGATGGCGATGTAATAACACGCGATGCCAAGCGCCAAGTCAAGTGTCCAGAAATAGTAAAGGCGGTAAAGGCCCGTGAGGTTCGCTAACTCCCTGGAGCTGGCAGGCCGCACTGCATTGCAAGGCAGCCCTGAGTTGGCTTGGGCTGGGATCGACCTGGAGGGTAGAGTTGTGGAAGGACCAAGAGGAGGATGAGAGGATGCAGCGGAAATAAAGATAAAAATAAAAATAGAGAGTTTTACGGGCAGAGAAAGCACAGGAGAGGAGAGAAAGAGAGGCAGAGAGTGAGAGAGAGTGAGAGATAAGCAAAATGAAAAGGTAGGCAGAGTGGGCTGCAAGATTTATCTTTTCTGTATTTTGCCGATGCTTCAGGTTGTGAGTCTGGCCAGAAACCCCCATGCAAAAAGGAGCAGTGTATGCCCCCAAAAATACCGAAAAAATCAACGGGAACTGCTGAGTCCAGCTGTTTGCCCTGTCACACGTGTTCAAGGCCCGCTGACTCTATTAACTCCGGCTGACTATGATTTTGCTGACCCTGCCACGGGTTATGAAAAGCAGAAACTCAGGAGTGCGCCGTCAAGAGAGTTGATGATGTCGGCGTTCTCAGTCTTCGATGCGCTTGGGCTTCACCGGATCCTTTGGTTTTGGATCATGGGGTTTGTGCGCGCTTACCGGCGCTTATACATGCCGTCTCCACGTTGCCGTCTGCTCGCCCAATGATGTGTCGCAGATGCAGTATTTGGAAAATACTCGATTGGGAAAGTGGAGTTCCAGAAAAACAGAGGTGAGAGAGGGAAGAAGACAACTTGGTTGCGTTGATAACCGGACGTTTGGAGGACGTGTGTTGTTTCATATTGTTTTTTTTTTTTTGGATGAGTCGTATCAAAAAGCTTACTCACCTCGATTCTTGGAGTGGCTAAAAGCTGGAGAGGGGTTGGGTGTGGTGCGGATGCTGGGAGCTGTGGAAGATGTAGAAAGAATGGTTGCTGGCTGTTGGGTGAAGGGAAAGGTTGACTGAGCATGGAAGCGTCTGGGAATTCTTATAGTCACGGGAGAGGCTAGGGCTGGCGACAGCGATCTTCGCGATATTCCCGAAGGGCTGAAGTGCTTGGCAGGAGCCATACAAGACTTTCAGACATACGAACAGCCCTAGCAGCGCCAGCTCTTTCGAATCAACCTGCCAGGAATCAGATCATTGCCTTCTGAATGCCATTGACACAACGGAGCGCCTTTCAATGAGCGGTAAGAAGCCGGCCGAACAGCCTCACATCTGCGTGAACGCTATCCAGAAGATCAGATCGCGGCAGTGATGACGCAGAACTTGGTCAACTGCTATTGTGCTGGCCGGTCCGGGCATCTATAGAGCTACAGATTACGACAATGGCAAGGAGCCCACCGAGAATGCTATTCTTTGGCAGGCAGCACATCACAATGGGAATATCCCTTTCCCAATTGTCCCCTTTGACAGGATCTGATGTTAGGGACCAATGTGAGCTACGGAGCAAGAAAGTGCCTGGGGGCTTCTGCTCATTCACTCAGAGTTTTGCTCTTTCAATGAGGGCATTCATCGAACTAACAACCTCACTTTCCCCTAGTTCTGACTTTGAGTAGGATCCAAACTCAAGGGAGCATGGTATCCTCAACCTCACGCCTTCAGGAAAGTTTTCTGAGATATATGTGTTGATGGGTGACAAATTCTTTTTTTAAAAAAAGTCAGTGGTTTTTTTTTCAATTTCTTGTCTCGTCCAGGGCCCTGTAACTCATCAGATGGAGAATCTGGCACTGTGATCAGATGTTGCTCTGTCCTGATGGATTGAAACTCGGTGATCCTCTGCAGTCTTGAGTGCAAAGTGACCTGGGAAAGCAGCAGAGAGTAATCAGCAGCTTGATTGTCATCCCTCCCTCCTTGCTCTCAGTTCTTCCAGGTTGTTTGATGTACAGATATATAGATGTATGTAAGTATAAAATGGAGAGCATTTTTCGAGCGCTGCCCTGCAGAACATGCGGCCCTGAGGGAATCTGTCAAGCATAATTTGTGCCGCAGAATAACGACGCTCTGCCTTCTAAACTACACGCGCGTGAGGGCAAATGAGCATGGCTCTTATATAAGGTTAAATATGCACTTGATCTTAGTGGAGCTGGGGCTGACCGAGGTACGGACAGCGGTGACCACACCGTGGTAACTTGCGGCTGACACAGGTTCCGGCCCTAATGTGATAGATATGATTGTGGGCTTGGTGGTTAAACCCCCATCTTTACACCGTAATCCTACGCAGGGAGTCTCAAGAAGATTGGCTTAGCATGTTTATTTGAATCCTATAATGAGGAGCTCTGGAAGGTCTCATCGCCATCCGAAGGTACCTGATAATGTGAGTTTATGCTAGTTTAGAACACGAGTGCATGGATAGGTACCTATATATGCAGCACCCTTGCACTGAGAACATGTTCGAGCCAGACTGGAGGTGGAACTTGCCAAGTGCATCATCAAACGTAGGAAATACAACAGTTTGGATATGTCCACCCACGGGAGCAAGATGCAGCTGAGCTACATGCTACATCTGGATCTTTATTCCACTTGGGACATATGGCAGATATCATCTTGATTCCATCTGAAGGATGTGATAGGCATTTGCCACAGATCTGTGTCTCATAGTTTGTAGGGACTTAGGTAACACAATGGCTCAGGAATGGTAATAAGGTTAATTCAAGTTCACATCGTACACAAAAGCCAGGATTGCCCGACTTTTCAAGATCTCAAGAACTAAAAGTATCACACAAAACAAGACTTGGCTACGTGTTCTCATGTAGTCCAGTTACTGAGTTTGTAGCTATCGATAAAGATTTAGCAATCGTTATCTGCTCACAACTCAGTTGGTCTGTATAGCCACAGGTGGTAGTTCCCAATAAGTTCACCATCTGAGGCCATGATTGTTCTTATCCTGACAGTTCATGCTTAACACATCTTGCACCGTGCCAGATCCTTGGAAAAAAAAAAAGAATGGTTTTCCCATCGTTGACTTAAGGTCCCAAGTTCATCTAAGCCCTATATTCCTGATATTAGCTCAACCACAAAGAACGGAAATTGTTTACAAGAGGGACCAGTGTCCAAAGGTAGACAAGTGGTGCCCACGACAGTTACAGAGTTTCATAGAGCTTGACAAAATTTTTTCGAGATCGACAGAGAGATGTGTGCTGAGGAAGTGATCTAGATGAATGAGGGAGCCTGGCTGGACATATGGTATGGAGTTCTTGAGCTATAAAAGTTCAAAACATGAAAACTTGCACCAGAAGCACAGCCACTCACAAACAATACGACCATCAAAGATCTTGAGCTTAAGGGATCAAGCGAGTCTTGAATGTTATCTATTGGTTCCCATGCATTGCACTTCTGTATACCCTGTTGAATTAAAAATCTCAATGCTGCTTCAGCGCTTCTCAAAACCCCATCCGCTCCGCTCCTCTCAATTCTCTATCCCTAGTCTCCCATATCCTTTCATTCTTCCTCTACTTCATTCACATTCCCCATTCTTCCCCTCCGACAACCTCACCTCTACCCCCTCCCCCACTTTCTTCCTAATCCCCCCAAAAACATCTTCAATCGGCATCACCGCCACCCAACCCCCTCCCCGTCTACACTGCTGTGGCAGCTGTCCATCCAATACCATTCCCAGCACTCGTCCCTCACGATCCCATACTATTGCCCCTGCATCCCCTTCACTCGCAAACGGCACTGCTCGTCGTGGCATCCCCAAGCCGGCGTTTGGGTCGAACTCGGGCAGTTCGGTGTTGTCAGGGGGTGGGGGGAAGATGATGCATTCTGATGTATAAGGGCTGGGTGATTGCAGGGATTGGGACATGTATGAGGCTTCCCGCAGGAGAAAGTGGGCTTTGAGATGGGGGCCGTTGGAGATACCGGTTGTTGGGCCCGTGCCGGGGGAGAGTTTGAAGACTTGGCTGCCGGCGGGCATGGTACGGAGGGAGTGTGAGGGGCATGGGGGCTTCATGTACCCTGAGAAAGTCGACTCCTCGGGGAAACGCTCGTCCGCGTCTGAGTAGGGGTACTGCCTTTGCCAGGCGTACCCGGACGGGAGCTTATTCTCCCCGATTCTCTTGTCTTCCCAAGGCTTGATCAACGCCCAGTCTAACCGGCTGCCGGAGGATGAGCGTTGGTTAAAGCCCGATGCAGCCCAGAGGATACCAAAGTCGTGGTTTTCGTTTGCGAGGAAGTCTCGGTTGTGCTGAAGGCGCTGCCGGTGTCTGTCGGGGTCCTTGTATGGTGATGAGGCGGCCTTCTCTAGGTCCCCCGTCGTAATGGCGTCTCGGAGACGAGAGGGGGATTGAAAGCAGGGGAGGTGAAGCCAGTCATTCAACATGTCTTCATGCCAATTCCCTCGGAATTCCGACCCTCCCCCCTCCTTGGGCCTCGGACCAAACCCGTACCTATCAACCATCCAACACGGACTCCCCTCCACTGGCGGCAGGGGAATCGCTTCGCCTGATCTCTTCGGGTCAGCCTTAACCCGAAACCCGCGAAGTGCTGGGCGTATGACGTGGTACGCAGTTAAGGCCAGGGTGATCCATTTTCCTGTGCCGGGAAGCTTGACGTCGACCCAGCAGCCTATCGTGCCAACAGCCGGGAAGACGGGAATGCTGTCTGGATACTCTGAGAGAAGACGCCAGGCAGAGAAGTCGTGGCCGGCGTCGACTCGAAGGGAGTATTCGTCCTTGTTCCCGGCGAGCCAGATCTCTGGCCCAACCGGGCCCCGTCTAACCGTGACCCTCTCCTTCCCTTCATCTTCGAGGGCATGAGGCTGAAGAGGCCTGGCAATCCACCAGCTCGTAACTAGACTCTGCTCCCCCTGCGGCACGCCCTCGATCCCAAAATCCAGCCCTTCATCATCCCCCCAAACCTCCATCCCTTCATCGCTTTCTCTCCACTCCCTCACATCCCTCAACGCATTCCCCCAACCAAACTCTAGACTGTTCTGTCCTACCCCAGCATAAGCAACTAATCCCCCTCCTTCCTCTTGCACCTCTCTTTCCGTATCTAACCGACACATCAGGATGCAGACAACATTGCCCTTGGTAGCAGGGCATCTGTCCAGGATCTGCCAAACCGTGTTGAGAATCGTAGCCCAGTTCCGCTCCAGCATCCTCGTCTCCTGCATCAGCACCTCCGGCTCAGGATCCAGCGCCGCCAACGCAGAGCTGTACACCGGGGCCACCCGCTTGCGGACTAGCAGTTCTGGATCGATCATTTCGACGCAGACATCCAGCCCTTCCAGGTCAATTTGCTGGTCAACCCAACTCTTCAATTCCCTCACCACTGTAGGCCACACAATCTCACTCCCTTTCCCCTTCCCCTTTCCCGGCCCCTGCACCCCTTCGTTGGCGCCAGGATCGGGAGGATCAACCCAATCAGCAACAACCAACAGCGTCAACACCCTCCCTGTCTCAGGTTCTTTTGCACCGGGGCGACCGAAGCCGCGGATGGCAAAGAGGACATCGCACACAGTGTTCGTGAGGCTGTGCCGGGCGAGGAGTGCATGGGCGTGATCGAGGGCTGCGAGGGTGATGTTGAAGCTGGGGAAGGAGGGGGAGGGGTTGATGAGGAGGGGGAGGGGGCGGTAGGGAGGGGTAAAGACGCGGAGGGGCGTTATGAAGATGGGAATGGTGGTGTTTTCATTGCTGGAGGTCATCTTTTTGTGGGTGATCTGAAGACTGGTGGTCAAAAATGAGGAGACAAAAATGGTCAAAAGAAAAAAAAAGAAACTAAAGGTGATGATGGAGTTTATTTGAGAAATGTGTGTAAGAGTGAGAGAGAATGAAAACGAGAATGAGAAAGAAAGAGAAAAGGGAGCAAGGACTGAGGAAGCAGGGGGTTGTTGATTTACCCCCTGAAGCCAGCAGTTTCATCACTACTTCGTAACCACAGATTATGTTCACATGGATAATGTAGGATTAACTCCGACAGGTTGAATATGTGACGGATGTGACGGTTTAATTACATTATTTCATCAGACAAAAAAAATTCCATGATGACCAAGAGACCAAGATATGATGATATTGTCATAGCTCGCGACTGGCATGTGAAAAAAAAAAAAAAAAGATGGATCGACTATCACCGCGCTCCTATATTCTATACATCAGTCGGAGCCAAATGGTTACCCGAGCTAGTATACCATGAGTTGAAATGAACAGAACGTTTGAAGTTAAGTGGGTAGGATGTAAACATATACCTACACGTATCTGGGTGGTGGTCTTGAGACATCCTGACAATCAATATTCTGCATAGCTTCTGATAAAGCCATGTAGCCCTTTGCTCCGAAAGTAAGGTGAGTGCCAACACAAGTCTACCGGATTCATATAATAGATACCTGGGTTGTGAATCGATTTAATCTAAAAAAAAAACGATTTATACCACAGGATTTGGAGGGGGAGGGGGACCATTCTTTTTTACATCTATCCCACTACAAAACCCCTGGGAGTGTGAAGTCACTAACATAGTATTGAAGGATGAGAAACTGTTGAAGGAGATGGATCAATGTTCTGCTTAGGTGGTATTAATGCCTTGTAGAACTCACAAAGCCGAGGAAAGAAGGAAAATCGTATAGAGCAGCTTGCTTCAGACGGATGTCAGCATCTTATTTTTCTCATCATTAACTACATGCTTCCGTCTGCCCTTGTTCATCGCGTTTTTAGTTTCATTTTTTTTTTGGCTGGATATTAACCAGTATGTAGCTTAACCCTTAGACAAAGTCACTTAGGTACCTAGTAACTAGACCTTCCCCCTTCTTCTCTCCATGTCCTTCATCTCCCCATTATGCCCCTTCACATCCTCATCCTTTTTCTCTCATCATTTATTCTCCTGAACTCTTAATAGTACCTCCCTCCCTGCCCCGTCGGAGGCGGCACATAACCCCCAGGAGCCCCCGCAGTAAAACCCCCCGGCGGCGGCCCCCCCTGAGGAGGGATCCCAGCCGGCGGGGGATAAGCCGCAACCGGCGGCCAACTTGGCGCAGCGGCACCCGTCTCAAAAGACCCATACCCCGTCGGCTGTGGCAACGTGAAGCTCCCTGCGGCCGCAGTCGGCACACCCGGCGGAGGGGGCTCATATCCACCCCCACCAGCCGCACTCCCGGGCCTAGCACCTACCACAGCCGTCGGAGGAGGAGGCCTGTACCCTCCGCCCCTGGAGCCAGTATAAGGACTCTGACTCCTCTCCTCACCTCTCCTCCACTCCCCGCCATATCTAGGTTGCCCCTGCTGCTGTTGCTGTTGTTGCTGCTGTTGCTGCTGCTGTTGCTGTTGCTGCTGCTGCTGCTGTTGCTGCTGCTGCTGTTGTTGTTGTTGCTGTTGCTTCCAAACCGCATACTCGGGAACCGTCACGGCGCCCAATAACCCTACCACCCTGCGCGGATCAAACCTCGGCCCGTCGTAAAACTCTGCCCTCGGAATCTGCGACAGCAAAAAGGTAATATCCCTCGCGATCGGCGGTGCCGAGGTAGCAGCCTGCCCGCCGAGGCGACGCTGTTGGTCGAGCCTGCGGCCGGCGGCTCCCTTAAGGGGGGATGCGCCGCGCACGAACTCGGTGTAGTCGTTTGCGCGGGGGATCTTGCGCGGGGGATTGCCGGACGCTGAAGGCCCGCCGTCATCGAAGTCGTCGGCGGGGAGGGGACGCTTGGGGGAGTTGGTGATATTTGCTGCTGAGGAGAGGACAGCAGTAGGGGCGGGGCTCGCACGAGCAGCTGAAGGGAGGGGGGGTTGTTGCGGGGCGGGAGAGGACTGTGTAGATGTCGTGGAAGGTTGCTCGATGGACTGGAGGAGGAGGGCTTTCTTGGGACGGAGCTGAGTCAAGGGAGAGACGATGATCTGCGCGGCTATGGGGTCGAACTTCTCGGTTGAGTAGCGCGCGCTGAAGGTGGCGAGTTTGGGGTCATCGGGCCAGAGCTCGGCCATGCGCTTTTCGAGCTTGGTGATTTGGGCTAGCTCGCCGTACTGGGACTCGTACTTATGGAAGTAGGCGTAGAGGGGCTTGGCCTTGTGGACGGTCTCGGGTTTGGAGGTGAGTCGGTTGACGACTGTTTCGAAGAGGACGCGGGCGTCTGGGAAGAGTCAGTACCCTGCTTGGATTACTAGCATAGAATTGGGGAAAGGAAGAGGAGAGAGAAAGAGAGAGAGGAGAGGAGTTTTTTTTTAAAAAAAAAAGAAAAAACAAAGAGAGGGAAAAAAAAAGGGGAGGGGGGGGGGGAAGAAGAAGGAAAGGGAGAGAAGAGAGAGAGGCGTTGGGGGGGGGGGGCCGCGAGACCTACTCGTAAAATCATCCCTCGAATGCAAATACTTGATATTCTCTAGCGCAAAGTTCTCATCTTCCGGGAACAACTTTGCGCCCCTGTCAAAAATCTTACCGCCCGCCGGGTCCTTATAAATATGCCACTCCAACTTGGCAACTTCCGCATACACATCACTAGTTAATCGTCCCCGGTGCCTAGCATCCTGGAAAGCCTGCCTCATCCCTCCTAATTCGGTATTCGGCTTGCCCTTCCCCTGAATGCGACGCATCGCCCTGATAAGCGCGATCCACACAAACGAAATCGTCCTCGACAACACCTGCGTCTGCGCGGCATACGCCTGCTTGACCGCGCGGATCTGCTCCTGCACTTTAGCCTTGGGCGAATTGTCCGCGCGCGCCTGGTCCTCGTCATCATCGTCCTCTTCGTCAGACTTGCTCTGCTGCTGTTGCGCGGCGGCCGCCTCGGCCGCCTTAGCCTGCTCCTCCAGGCGGGCAACCTCAGCGCTCTCGCGGTCCTTCAGGCCCTTGATGATGCCGTACAACGTGTCCAGGACCTTGTCGTAGGGCGCGCGCACCGCCTTGCCGCGCGCGATCTTGGCCTCGTCGCTCTCTTCGGCGGGGTAGGTCGATTCGATGTAATCGCCGTGCTTGAGCGCGAGCAGGACGCTCTCTGGGTTGGCTTCAATACCACGAGTCAGGAAATCCAGGCCGGCCGAGCTGCCGTCCTTGTTGCGTATGTCGTTGTCGAAGCACCACTGGGCCGCGTCGACCCACATCTCGGGCCAGAAGCGCAGTGCCATGAGTGCCTGGTTATAGACGTAGAGAATACGCTTGTGGTACAGGCCCGGCTGGTCCTTGTCGTCCTTGAGGTCCAGAGGGTCAGACTTCTCCCAGGCGATCCACTTCTTCCAGATCTCGACCTGCTGCATGTACTCCTCGTAACCGTCAAAGCCCGGGGCGGGGGGCAGGCGAGGGAGCGTCGTGCGCTGTAAGCCACGGGTGATATTCTCAAGAGCTGTGTTGGCGCTCTTGGCCGACATGTAAGAAGGCGACTTCTCGGCCAAATACTTCCTCCCGGTGAGCTTGTTAAGGCCCATCTCGAACTGGTCGTACTCCTTCCAGAGCGTATTCACGTTAGCAATGGGCACGCAGACGGCGCGCTGGTAGGCCTTGCGCAGCTGGTCCATCTTCTGCTGGTCCTGCCACTGGTTGCCGCCGACGGTACCGGGGCCGAACTTGAGGAACTGGATGTAGTCGGCCCAGATCTTGCCCGAGTCCTTGTCGAGGCCGATGTTATCGATGACAAACTCGTAGGCGCGGGCGACAGTCGTGCGCGCGGCGCCGGTCGGGTCGTTGAGGTCGTTGCGGCGGCGGATGTAGTCGAGGTACTTGGTCCAGAGGTTGACGTTGGGCGTTGAGATGAGTGACTTGTTGAAGATGGCCTCGGCCTCGGGGAAGTTGTTGAGCTCGAGCTCCATGTTGAGATAGTCGACCCAGACGTCGGCCTGAAGAAGAGTCAGCTTTAAAGCACACATGACATTACGGGAGATCAGGGGGAGAGAACCTACAGCCTGCGGGAAGACGGCAAAGAACCGCTCATACGTCGCCCTGGCCTTCTCGATGTCGTTTCTAGCGCGATGCTCGAGGATCAAACCCAACCACGCATCCATGGCACCTCGGGGATCCTCGCGTACGCGATCCTCTAGCTGGGCGATCCTGTCAACGGTCGGGACAGGCGGCGGCATAGGCGTGGTCGTAGTGCTCTCGGGCACGAGTGCAGCAGGCTTCGCGGCAGCACCATATTCCGCAGCATCGGCATTGTCGGTAGCAGACTGAGCAGGCGCATTCTTCGCAGTGGCTTCGTCCTCGGAATCCGAATCCGCAATGAACCCTCCGGCAGTGCGCGGCTTCTTCTTCGGGGGCGCGGCGCGCTGGGGCGATGGGCGTAGGGGCACCTCGGCAGCTGGGACCTGGGGGGACAACGAAGTAGCTTGAGGAGCTGGAGCTGGGTCGGTCGTGAGAGGCAGCGAGGCGGGATCATACTCGGGCTCCTCGGCCGCGGCAGAGATTTCGGAGCCAACGTTGTACTCGGCCTGCTGGGTAGTGTCGGGCTGGGCATTGTCGGGGTTGGGCTCGACGTAGCCGCTATTCTCGGGCCACGGGGTCTGGGCGGGGTCGTAGTCGTCGGCCATTTTGGGAAAAAAAAAAAAACTATTAATCTTGTGAAAAGTAGAAGATCACAGAGGTAGGGGGACTTGGTGTCAATTGATCTCGCGAGAGTCGAAGCGCGGTCGCAGGCAGAGCGCACGTGAATTGGTCAATTCGAGCCGGTCGAAGATGAAATAACAATTGCGACTAGCGCATGCTGATATCAATGTGACCGAGTGTGAGCTTTTGGGATCGCGAGATCGCGAATCTTGTCGAAGCGACAGCAATGACGCGCTCGAGACAAAGAATCGAAGAGGTGAGGGCAATGGGCAATGGATGAGTTGCCGGTGCACCACGAGGGAAAAAGGGGGAGGGGGGGAGGAAGAAAGGTGCAAGAAATGCAATTCGCTATTTCATGTCGCAGCAGCGCGGTCGCGCACAGCTTTACTGTGGTTCTCAGCTGCGAATTGCGATGGTTGGACTACAAGCCGGGAAGGACTTGAATAGGAGTAGCAAGCAGGGCACAAGAGCAAGCAGCGAACGAGCGATAGAGAGCAAACTCGACACCAAGCAGCAGGACTTGATGTTGTCGCGAAAAAAATGAGCCACAGTGGGTCTCTATGGCTGGTGCTTGCCGAGCTGTGGCGGTGTGCGTGCAAGGGCCTTCGCTCAGCCACGTGCCGTCAACGACGACGCGTGGATCAACTTTGCCAAGAAAGCCAACAAAAACAGAAACTGGCAAAAGCGGGGGCACAGTGTCAAAAGTAGCGGGGCAGGTGTGGAGTAGTTGGGCTCTGGCGAGAGAGAGAGCGCGTTCTCTCTGGGCTACCGCTGCGTCCACTTTACCATACACTGCCTAACCTACCTTACACGCGACACAGCGCGACGGTAGCGTGGCTGCCCTAGATTCAGGGTCTGGCCCTTCTCCCTCACCCCTCTCTCAAGAAGGCCAGTGCTGCTATAAAGTCCCGCCGGCATCGGGTTCCATTCATGGCCGCTGTGATTGGATTGCGTTGATTGCATTACATCGATTTTATCGATTGGAACCCGTAGATACAGGGGGACGCATTGATTTGACGTGCTAAATAAACAAGAGTGCCACGATCCACTCCGTGACTGAGGTCGAGAGTCTCTTCCCATTTTCCCCGCGCATCGCGTGGCAGTCGTGTTTTTCCATTTCGTTTACGTTATTTTTCACCCTGTCGCCTACCTTACACACATCTACCATTGCACACGGCATAAAACAGCACAGGCTATCCGGTCAAGTCTATTATACGCAGGCTCGTTGAATTCATACTTGCATCGAGTCTATCACCCCAACTTCTGTCTCTAGTACTAAATAGTAAAAAAAAAAAAAAAATCATCGTCTGTTACGTTCACCAACCGCCACAATGTCGGTCGTCTCACTCCTCGGGGTCAATGTCATGAACAACCCCGCCAAGTTCACCGACCAGTATGAGTTTGAGATCACGTTCGAGTGCCTCGAGCCGCTGCAGAAGGGTAATATTCCCCCGCGTCTATCGTCTCTATCATCCTTCTTCTGGAACGCCCAGAAAAGAACAAACATCCCCGCTAACCCTGCTCAGACCTCGAATGGAAACTGACCTACGTCGGCTCCGCCACCTCGGACGCCTACGACCAGGAGCTGGACTCCCTCCTGGTTGGCCCGATTCCGGTGGGCATCAACAAGTTCGTGTTCGTGGCCGACCCGCCGGACACGAAGCGCATCCCGATCGACGAGCTGCTGGGCGTGACGGTGATCCTGCTGACGTGCGCGTACGACGGCCGCGAGTTCGTACGCGTCGGCTACTACGTCAACAACGAGTATGAGACGGAGGAGCTGCAAAATAACCCGCCGGCAAAGCCCATCATTGAAAAGATTCGTCGGAATATCCTGGCCGAAAAGCCTAGGGTTACGAGGTTTGCTATTAAGTGGTATGTCTCCTCTTCACAGCCCCCCCCCCCCTTCCTTTCCCTTCCCCTCCTTCCCCTCCTTCCCCTCCTTCCCCTTCCCCCCTCCCCCTTTTTAATAAAGCTCCAATTCTGATGTGCTACGTCAGGGACTCCGAGGCCTCCGCGCCCCCCGAATTCCCCCCCGAGCAGCCGGAAGCCGACCTGGTCGCCGACGAGGAGGAGTATGGCGCAGACGAGATGGACGAGGAAGAGGAAGAGGAAGAGGAGGACGACGCCATGGAGGGTGCCGACGCCGAAGAGGATCTTGAGGAAGAAGAGACGGGCAGCGTCGACCTCGAGGGCGAGAGCGAGGCCGAGGTCGAGGGCGAGTACGACGAGGAGGGAGACGGCGCCGATGAGATGGAGGTCGATGATGACGGTCCTGCTCAAGGAGCTGCTGGTGCGACGGGAGCTGGGCAGAAGCAGGAGGCTATGGTTCACTGAGCGAGCTCTCGGGAGAGAATGATTATGATTTGGTTGAGTGGTTATGAATATGACCTGTTCGATATGACATGGGCGGGTTGTATGGATGGATGGATGGATGGATGGATGGATGATGGTTATCATGACGGTTATGCGCCAGGCTAGGGATATCGTCACTGTTTGGCGGTTTGATGATTGATTGATTGATTGATTGATTGATTGGACGAGTTCTCATACCCTAGACGTTTGGGTTGTGTCTGCGTCAAGATGGGTTGTGATAGAGAAGGAATGATGAATCGGGCTGACATATCAGTCTCTCAATCAGGTAGTAATGGATATTGCCTATGGCTCGCACGAACTTGATCCCTCTTGATGTGCCTGGCACTATACGCGTAATAGCAGCTTGATCCTAAAAGATATGACGGTAGGCGTCCCTCTTACAACATAAATATCTCGCATCTGCCCTTGACAGCGATATCTGGGACGTCGCAGTTTGAGGGCATCTGACTGAGATCGACATATCTACTTCCTCTAGGGCAACAAGGTATATAATGTCACAAACACCATCTCGACAATCTCAATCCGTCTTCTGAACAGCAACAGCAAACGGATTAAATTTCTCCAACTTTTCCCCTCCTCCCCCCCCCCCCCAAACCCTCCCTCTGGCCCCTCCCTCCTTTTCTAATCCTAAATCCTATATTTTAAACCTTACAACCAGCATTTTAAATACTTTTTTTTTTAAAAAAAGTCATTCATGCCTACAACCCCTTCACCTCAATCCTCTCCACAACTTCTCCCGCAATCCTCGCCACCTCAGCCAAGATCCCCTCCCGATTCACCTCAACCTCCACTCTCCCCTCTCCCTCCCTCTCCTTCTCCCTCTCACTCCCATCCTCATCCTCATCCTCATCCTCATCCTCGCTCTCATCCTTCCCCCCAGCCACCGGCTTGTATGATGTCGGAAGGTTAACACGCCATTTACGCTTAACCAGCGTCGGGTTCCACACCGCGCCAATGACCTTATCCCCTTCCTCTGTGGCAGTCGTATCACTGCGGAAGAAAACCAACGGCCCTGTGCCCGATGCCCCGGCGGCGGAGTCATAGACTGCGCTCAGCTGCTTGAGCAACACATCCACTGGGTGCTGTGCCACCGGTAACGGGGGCTCCACCGTCTCGGGGGCAAGGTTCTTGAACTTGATTTCCTGCCCTTTCCCCCCGTTCATTTCCGTCGCGGGATCGACGGTGATGTACGTCCGCAGCGCCGACTTCAGGACCTTGGTGTTGAGATACAGCAGCACGTCGTACTCCTTCAAACTCGGCACAAACAGCCTCCTCACGTCCAGATCAACGCCCTGCTCACGAATAACCCGCGCAGCAGATTTCGCCAGCGCGGTCATCCTCGCCGCAACCACCTTCGACGGGCGGGGGTGTCCGTCGACAGAAGTCCACATCGTACCGGATTGTTCGTGTGCCGTAGCGACGAAGAGCACGGTGTGCTGCATGCCGGGGTCCAGCTTGCGCCACGCATCCAGCCTTGTGGCGATAGCCTGCCGTTCTTGCGCGGGTAATTCCCCGTTGAGCGAGGTATCGATAATAAGAGGGTCGGTGCGCCAGTCCCAGCGGGCGAGGAATAAGAGAGTGCGGAGGAAGCCGGTTGTGGGGGAGGAGGGCACATCCCATGGGTAAGGGGCCAAGAAGGTGTGGAGCACAAAGAGCTCGAGGAGTTCGGGCGGGAAGTGGTTGGAGAGTTTGTGCACGCTGAACCAGTGTTTTACCAAGCGGATGGTTGGGGACAGAGCGGGGAAGCGGGTTGTCGCGGTGGTGATGTATTGCGTGTGGAGGGGTAGATGCACAAACGTCCTCCTGAAGGAGGCCAACTGGGTAGACGCCCGCTGGCGAAGATACTGCTCAGTCGTCTTGTCCTTGGTCTGCCTCTCAAGCAGGGACTCTTCGAGATCAGCCTGGATGCGGACGCGGAAGCAGGCGCCTGAGGCGTAGATCACGTCGAGGAAGGCCAGGTTCTCCGTTTCGTAGCGGGCGTCGTCCAGGCCGACGTGGGTGCGGATCTCACCGGGCTTGAAGCGCTCCAAGAGGCGGCCGATCATGAGCAGGAAGGCGATCTTGGTGCGCTGGATCGCGATCAGGCTTTCGGGCCATTTGCCGGAGGCTTCGAAGGAGATGACTACCTCCATGGGGCGAGGGCCTGACTTAGAGGGGCCGAAGGAGGGGGTTTTGAGGGAGGAATGGCGCAGCTCGGGGCAAATGGGGTTGACGTGGCGGATGCGAAGGGGGAGGTCCTCCAGGTCGCGGAGGTCGCGCTCGAAGGAGGTGAAGGTCTTGCGGGCGACGTTGAACAGCGCCGTGTCGGACGGCTTGATGGAGAGCAGCGCGGGAAGGGAACGACCATAGAACACGATATCGTCCTGCAGCTGGCCGACCCGCAGGTGTAGCCCCAAAATGTAGCGCATGATCTCTTCGCAGAGATCGAACGGCGTCTGCGCCGACCACACCAACGTCTCGCGGATGGTATCACCACCAAAACGCCGCAGCTCCGACTTTTCGCCCCAGAAGCGGCGGAACTTTTCGCACGTCTCCTTCTCCTCCGCGCTAGGGCCTGCCGACGGACCGCGGTCCACTGTGCGTGCCATGTTGAGCGGATCGAAGAGCACGCCGATCTCGATGGGGGTGCCCGCCTTTTGCGGCTGGGGCTTCTCGTTCAAAGACCAGGACGAGGACGAGAAGCCCGGCGACACCTTAAGGTGGATCAGGCGGGCGCGCTCGCCGCCTTCCATGTTCTTGTCAGACAGCGCACGGCGCAGGATGCGATAGACCTTGTGGCCGACCTGCCAGTGCCGGCCGCGCGCTTCGTGGGCGACCTTGTCCGGCGCTGCTTCGGATACCTTCTCGGGGTCCATGCGAGCCACCAGATCATAGGTATGTGTCGGCAGGTCGGCCTTGAGGATGAAGGTCGGCTGGAACTGGTCCACAGCGCCGTCAGCGAGCAGCTTGCGCGTCCACCGGGCGTGCTGATGCAGCAGGTCGGCCGACCAGGGCCCCATCTTGAAGGCGATGTTCAGCTGGCGGGCTGAGTCCCAGAGGATCGGTCCGTTCTCAATGAAGCCCGCCAGATCTGGCTTCGCTTGGCCCAGCACGCACGGCTTCTCGGCAAAGTTGGTGACTGACAAGAACTGTATGAGCGCCTTGAACAGCTGAGTACTGCTGAGTGACGGCGAGAGCGGGGCGGCCCCCTTGGTATCGGCCGGCCCTCCTTGGAGCAAAAGAGCCAAAAGGACAGCCCATTCAAAGTATCCGAAGCCGCCCTTGGACACATCACTCCCGAACCCGCGCTGCTGAAGCCAGATGCGGCCAAGGATGCAGGCGTTCCGGAAGGCAGCGCACTTCTTTTCCGTTTGGCGCAGCAGCTTGAGGTATTGGAGGTAGCTAGACTCGGCGACCAGAGTAGAGTTGTAGAAAGGGGTAGCAGGTGTCGCAGGCTGCCCGTTGGCCTGTTGCTCCCCCTCCTTGTGCTTACGAACCAGCCCAGCTCCCAGGTGCAGTTTCTGGCGCGGGAAGAAGGACTCGGGGGCGCAAGGGATGATGCGTATCCTGTAGTCGAGCACGCCCTTCTTCTTCTTCTTCTCATCCTCGTCCTTCTCGCCATTGGGCTTGACCGAGAGCACCGGCAACAACGAGTTGCCATTATGATACTCATAGCTCAACGTAGCCTCCCCCTTCAGATCCTTCTGCAGATGAGCAGCCACCACAGCAAGGTAATACGCTCTCTTGTAGAAGTACCTCAAGTCCAGATAATCCTTCTCCTGCAGGATACTCTCGGGCAGCACCACGATCATATCAATTCCATGCGCGCTCTGCGTGCGAACCATCGTCTTGGCCACGTAACTGCCCACGACATTAAACTGCGCCGGCGTGGCGAACGAAACCTTGTAATTCGAGTTCTGCGGCGGCGGCGGGCTGGGGAAGGGAACCTTGAGCTTGTGCTTCTTTTCGAGCTTCGCAGCCGCATCGAGCAGCGGCTGGGCATCGTGGGCGGGAATCGTCTCAATGGAGCCTTTCAGCCGGTGAAGCAGGGCGTCGGCGCCATCGAAGGCCTCGGAGTAGTCCAGGTCGACCGAGTCGAGCATCTCTTCGGTCTCGAGCACGAAGGCGCGCGCCCGGGAGACGCCTGTCGCTGCCGCCTGGGCGGCCTCGAGGGCGATCGAGGCATTGCCGTCAGGGTGAGCAATTTTCCTGCGTTTGGCGGGTGCGGCGTCCATAACGGGGGGAAAAGGTAGTCGAGGAAGGTGATTGATAGGTGGCTTGTAGACTTGAGATGTTGATGTCCGGCGGTCCCAATTTCTCAACTTTTTTGCAGGGGTGCGATAAGATAAGAGTGGCCGAGACGAGGCTGAGACGAGGCTGAAAGATGTGGGATCTGATAAGATGCCAAGATCGCACTTTCGCAAGGCTGCCCAGTTGGGTCACACAGTGCAAGACAGATTGCGCCGAGTGGCCGCACTGTGGCCCCTCCTTCAAGCTCTCACTCTACGTTGAAGCTTCAGACGATTGATCCAAGCAAAAACTCATGTCAACAGGCACGCACGTCCATGCCAGCGGTCTGACAGAGAATGTTGCAGTAAACCCCGAGGGCTTTTAGCACTCTTTAACTTTGTCCAAGCCCACAAAATGTCGAGCGTCAAGGCCCTCCTCCGGGCCATCAACGACGCCATCAAGCAGCAGAAGTGGGATGCTGCCATTGAAGCGGCCGAAGATGTGTTCCAGAAGGACCCTAAGAACTACCAGGCGTAGGTATAGCGATCCTCTAATATCAAGCTCCCGTATTAACACCAAGTTAGCCACATATTCCTTGCCTTCGCCCTCGACAAGAAAAACAAGCTCGACGAGGCCGAAAAGACGTACCTGGCCGCAGCCGCCCTCAAGCCGGGCGACTCGCAGGCCTGGCAGGGCCTGATCAAGCTGTACCAGCGGCAGAAGAACAAGAAGCTCAAAGAGTACCAGCGCACGGCCGTGCGCCTCGCCGAGATCTACCACGATGCCAACGAGCTGTACAAGTGCCGGGACGTCATCGACAAGTTTGTCGACCATGCCCGCACCCAGGGCGACCGCCTGCAGTATGTCGATGCGCTCGATGTTATTCTGCCTGGAAGTCCGATCTACTCTGTCCTTGAGGGGAGCGTGCCGGCGCCGGGAAAGACGTACGAGCTGCAGGCGCAGATTGTGGAGGCGGAAGAGAAGAAGAGAATCAATACCTTGATTGGCGAGCGTCGAACGAGGATTGGCGCCCGCGTTGCGGAGGTTACGATCGAGACCAAACGCGAGGTGTACAGCCAGAGCCGGCTGCTGGAGATTTACCAGAATGTAATCAACTGGGCGACCGACGACGATGTGCGGCGCACATACGAGGAGAAGCAGCTGCAGTACTGCTACGACCGCATGCTAGCCTGGCCGCCGGGCGAGCAGAAGGACCAGGAAGCGGCGACAGTCCGCCGTCTGGCCAACGACATGGTGATTATTCGGCACCCGTTCAAGTTCGCCTGGGATATCGCCATCAACTGGCAGGACAACAAGGAGGTCAAGCAGTGGGATCCGGCCGTCCTGAGACAGTACTGCACCTTCTTCCCCGACAGCGACCTGAGCCGGGTGATTATGGGTTACCTGACCAGCGAGATCTCGCCGTTCCCCAAGGAGAGCGCCCAGCCAACGCAGCAGACGGCGCTTGCGGAGAGCGACGAGGACGAGAGCGAAGACGATGAGGAGGGCGGCGGCGTGCCCACTACGTACGTGCCGCTGACGGAGGAGGATCGTCTGGCCATGTTCATGGAGGGCTCCAGCAGCGCCGACTCGCTGTTTGCCTTGAGGCTGACGGCTGAGTATTATCTGCACATTGAGGAGCACGAGATGAATGTTGAGTTGATGCGCAAGGCCGTCGAGCATCTCAAGCTGGAGAGGTCCCGGACTGGCTTTCGCTTCCAACATACCGAGGACGCCTTCTCCCTGGCGCTGGGCACATCGCTGGTCTTCTACCAGTCCCCGCGTCATCATCAAGAAGCCAAGGCGCTCTTCGACAAAGTGCTCTCTCACGACCCGTCATCCACGCCCGCCCTTATCGGCGTCGGCCTGATCTACGAGGAAGAAGAGGAGTACACCGAAGCGATTGGCTTCCTCGAACGTGCCCTCCAGCGCGACCCATCCAACCTCCGCGTGCGCACCGAAGCGGCCTGGGTCAAGGCCCTCAACGGCGACTTCGCAACCGCCAAAGCCGAGCTCCAGGCCTGTCTCCCCCAGCTCGAGAAGGCCAAGAACCAAAAAGAACTCCTCGCCCAGACGCAGTACCGTGTCGGCCACTGCATCTGGAACCTGGACACATCCAAGGCGGCGCGCAAGAGCCGGACCGGGGCATATGCCTACTTCTTGGAGGCACTCAAGAATAATCTGAATTACGCCCCCGCCTACACCGCGCTGGGCATTTATTACGCCGACTACGCCAAAGACAAGAAGCGCGCGCGTCGCTGCTTCCAAAAGGCTGTGGAGCTGTCGCCGTCGGAGGTCTACTCCGCAGAGCGCCTGGCCCGGTCCTTCGCCGACGACGGCGACTGGGACCGTGTCGAACTCGTCGCGCAGCGGGTTGTGGACTCGGGCAAGGTCAAGCCGCCGCCGGGGTCCAAGCGCAAGGGGATTAGCTGGCCGTTTGCGGCGCTCGGTGTTGCTGAGCTCAACAAGCAGGACTATCGCAAGGCGATCGTCTCGTTCCAGGCTGCGCTGCGGATTGCGCCCGAGGATTATCATTCGTGGGTTGGCCTGGGTGAGGCGTATCATGGCTCTGGGAGGTACATCGCCGCGACAAAGGCGATTTTGAATGCTCAGCGGTTGGAGGAGACTGCTAGGGATAAAATCCAGGGGGAGACGTGGTTTAGTCGGTTTATCCTGGCTGATATCAAGCGGGACTTGGGGGAGTTCGATGAGGCGATTGCGCTGTACAAGGCTGTGGCCGACGAGCATCCCGACGAGCAGGGCGTCGTCATCGCGCTGATGCAGGCTATGGTCGAGAGCGCTATGGACAGCCTCGACAAAGGCTTCTTTGGCAAGGCGGTCGACCTGGCTAAGGAAACACTCAAGGTCGCCTCGCAAGCCTGCCGCGCCATTCAGGAGACATTCAACTTCTGGAAGGCCGTCGGCGACGCCTGCTCAATCTTCTCCAGCGTGCGTGGCCGTTTGTCCGAGTTCCCCCTGGACATTGTCCAGCAGATTCTCTCCGACGAGGATCTCGCCCCCAGCAACGGCGTCCCCGGAGACCAAACGGACTCGTCCCTCCTCTATACCGTCCTACAGGCAACCATCACCTCCCACACCCGCGCCATCCAAGCCTCCGCCCACGACGTCCACGCCCAGGCCGTAGCACACTATAACCTCGGCTGGGCCGAATTCCGCGCTCATACCTGCCTGCCTTCCCAAAAGAAAGCCTCCCCGCACCTCAAAACCGCCATCGCCTGCTTCAAACGTGCCATCGAGCTCGAGGCAGGCAACGCCGAGTTCTGGAACGCCCTGGGCGTCGTCACGTCTACTGTCAACCCCGCTGTGGCACAGCATGCCTTTGTCCGCAGTCTGCATATCAATGAGGCCGGTGCACACGTCTGGACCAATCTGGGAGCCCTCGCCCTGCTGCAGGGGGATGTCCAGTTGGCGAACGAGGCCTTCACTAAAGCGCAGAGCGCCGATCCGGATTACGCGCATGCTTGGCTCGGCCAGGGACTGGTTGCCCTGCTCGTGGGCGATGTGAAGGAGGCGAGGGGATTGTTTACGCATGCGGCGTCGATTGCGGAGGCGTCGTCCCGCCCGGTGAGGAGACACTATGCGGTCGCGATGTTCGATATGCTGTTGGCGGCTCGCGGGGCTGCGTTGCCGATTACGGCGCTGCTGCAACCGTTGTTGGCGCTGTCGCAGCTGGCGGCGCTCGAGCCGGGGGAGTTAGGGTTTAGTCATTTGCTGGGGTTGATGCAGGAGAGGAATGGGGAGCCGAGGAGGGCGGTTGAGACGCTGGAGGGGGTGTGTGGGCGGTTGGAGGAGAGGTATGAGCGGACGGAAGCCGCTACAGACCTGAAGCACTTTGCTATTGCGAAGGCGGATCTGGCGAGGGCACGGCTTGCGGCGGGGGAGTATGAGGCTGCGGTTGAAGATGCGGAAATGGCGCTGCAGCTGTCGGAAGAGGGATCTGAACTCACGGCTGAGGAGCGGGCCCGTGTGAGGTTATCTGCACATGTTACGACGGGAGTGGCGAAGTACTTCTTACAGTCCCCTGCTGAAGCGGTTACTGCGCTGGACGCGGCGCTGGACGAGTCCAACTCTGACCCCGACGTCGCTTGTCTACTGGCACAAATCCTCTGGGCTGAAGGGAGCGAAGCCTCCCGCGAGCGGGCAAGAGATGTGCTGTTTGGCGTGGTGGAAGCCACTTCCCCTCCGCACGTGCGTGCCGTGGTCTTGTTAGGAGTCATTGCCTTGCTGGACGGGGATGAAGAGGGTCTCGAGGCGGTTGTGTCTGAACTACAGGGCTTACGTGGGGCCGGCACCTCGGATGGCGATGGCCAAGGCCAAGGGAAGGGTTTGAGTGTCACGGAGATGGAGGACATCGGTATCGTGTTGCGCGCCGTTGCGGGTTTAGGTAGCCTCACGACTGAGACCAGCACTGAAGTGGTCACGGCCCAAGACCAAAAAGCCTCCCAAGCCCGTCAGGACGTTATGTACCATCCCTGGCTGCCGCACGGGTGGTCTGGGTTGGCCGCCTCTGCACGGGCCTCTGCTACTGATGATGAAGGTGAAGAGCTGGGGAGGTCTGCGGCAGAGATGGCATTGCGAGTAGCTGTTAAGGGTGTGCCGCCCAGAGGGGAACTGGAGGCAGAGGATTTGGCGAAGGCGTATGCGGGTACCGGGAGAGTGAGAGATGCGCAGGTTGCGGTGTGGATCGCGCCTTGGTGTGGGGAGGGGTGGGCAAGTTTGAGGGGGGGTGTTGCTGGGAAGGCTTAGGGGCTTTTTTTTTTTTTCGAGAGGTGATGGAATTTGTGTGAGATGAATCATGGCTTGTGCTGAAGATGAGCAATGCGATACGTTATGACGTTAGCATTGTCATGGGAAATACTTAGCTGTCTGTTTAGGCATGTCGAATAGGAAAACATGACAGGCATGAGTGATAAAAGACTGAGTAGACTAGAGCTGGTGTACACAGTCTGTTAAGTCTCGCTGTGTGAGTGACTGACTGCTGACTGATCGACTTCCTGTAGTCGAATGCTCCTCTCCTATCCCCCCCCCCCTTTTTCTCCTTTCCGAGCGCCTGCAGGAAGAGGCTTTATAATAAAAGGTGAAGTCTCAACCTGCCAACAATCAGGGGACCACCCTGGCACTGCACACATAGCGTACCGGTTTGGTGTTGCGACTAAGCACCAACACAGAGGCTGGGAGCCTATGCGAGTTATGGGGACCTGATAGCTTCTGTGGGGGCTCTGTGGATGAGTTCAACCCTGCTTGGAACGTTTAAACCAAAGTTTTTTTTTTTTGTGCCCCTTTTTAGGAGGAGTAGTCAGGTAATAAACAAACAAATTTGGGGACGCAGGCGGCAGGTGAACGCGGGGCTAGACTACTATGACCTTGGGATGGAACGTGTGTAAAGTTGTCTTCTCGTGGCACACTCATTCCTGTGAGTCGCCGAGAGCTAGTTGATTCCTAGGCTGTCTGAACTGGCTCGGAGGTTGTCTGTGATATCTAGTTAGCTGTCTGTTAGTGATGTCTCTTTTGTTGCCCTCATCTCGTCCTGACATTCTAACTTGAAGCTTTCAATGAACCCACAAGCTTCTATCCTGATGGCGTTGTTGAAACTGCAAGGCCTTCTACTGATCTTAGGTTAGATCAATCCCTCGTTAGCTTTCTGTTGAGCCAGAGACAGTTTTCTCCTGTTGGAAAGTTCACAGATTCCTTGCCATAGCGTTTGGTATATAACGGGTATGAAGTTGCTCTCAGGTGCCTAATTTCCAAGGCATGATCAAAAAAATCCTATGGCAGATTTTTTTTCTTACTCTTCGCTCCAATCTCAGATGACATGTAAAACAGTTATCTCCCTGTCCATCAGCACGTCGGGCCCCAATTACGTTTCCGTCTCTATTAAAAAAAAACGATGAGTTTCGCTTCCATATGCCGTGTTTCGTCATTCTGAGCTTTTAGGAAAGCAAAACGGTCCCCTATATTCCAGCAAAACCAGCCATGCCAAATCTCCGTTCTCATCATGGCAAATCCATGCCTTCAGCTCTCCAAAATTTTTATTCCAGCCGCATTAGCGGTCTCTAGAGATCTCGATAACCCCTCCGCCCTCGTTCATCCCCCGGCGGCGCCCCTACAGCCTCCCTCAACCTCCTCACCCTTGTCTCGCACCACGCCCGATGCCACGCATCCACCTTTCCCCCCAATATCACCACGTTGGCCGGCTCAAGCAGCACAACGCCCCTCGCGACCAGCGTCGTCGCTTTCAACAAAATCTTCTCCCCTATCGGCGTCCTGCCCACACCCAGTTGCGGCACACGCTTCAGCTCAAGGGCGTACACCTTTTGCCCGGAGCAGTCTTGCAGGACGAGCTTATGCGTAGAGTTCTTGTCACTTTTTTGACTTTTCTGTTGTGCAGTGCCGGTCGTCCCGTTGGTGGCGACCGCCCCCCTAGAAGGCGGCCCTTGCGACTCAAACTCGTCATCTTCTGCTACCCCAGTGTCGACATCGTCTTCTTCAGTCCCCGGCGGCGTCAAAGGCAACCGAACCACCTCCCTCCCCTTAGTATATTCCCCCCTCGCCTCGGCCTCCAATTCCTCCACTTGCTCCCACCTCGGCCTCGACACATCTTCAATATCAACCACTTGCACGACGACTTCCCTGCCTAACCTCCCCTCTCTCTTGTCTATATACCCCTGTGCGAGGTTGGCGGGGAGAGAGTGCTGCGCCTTCCAGCGGGCGTCGAGCAAGTTGGGGGTTGTGAGGTCTGAGTTGAGGAGGCGCATGCGAGCGGTCGCGAGGAGGGAGGAGAGGGAAGGGGGCGGGTTGCGGGACGAGGCGAGAGTTTGCAGCCAAGTGAGGGTCGGGAGGGGGGTCTGGGTTTGGGAGAGGGAAGTGTGCAGTTGTTGGGCTATGGAGAGGGGGGTTTGGGGTTGGGACATGGTTGCGTTTTTGTAGGTGTTTTTTTTTTCGTTCGTAGGGTTAGATTAGTCGGTTAAGTGCTGGAAATTTGGGCATGGGAGTGAGAGGGTTGAATTGGTGATGAATTTTATATTTGTTGAGGTGAGCTTAAGAGGTGAGGCGGGCGAGTAGGTTGGAGATCATCATTTCTGCCTAAATATTGAAAATCCAAAACTACAAATCGTTATAAGAGGAGAATTTACGTTTGCTCATTGAATCTAAAAAAAAAAAAGAATGTAAGAGTTTTTTGACGATTTTCCAAAAATTTCAGCTAAACTCGCGTCTCACCTTCCTCATCACTTGCCTCGTGATGGGACGCGTGAAGTTGCTAGATACGTACCTTGTGAAGCAGCGGGTCCATTCCTTGGTGCCCCACAATCTTAATCCCACTCTGTCAGCTGTCAGCCTCACCTTCAGCTGCCAGCCGACGTCACCTCTTCAACATTACTTGCTTCCACCATCCTCATCACTACCATTATCTTCTAACCAGCCCTCGAGCGGGCACGACTAGACACCATGTCGACAATCGCCTCCCCCCGCGACCCCCCAGCTTTCCGCCGCACGCCCTCCTCCCAAGCAATCATAACCCCAACCTCCTCGGCCCGCCCCAGCATCGACCTCTCCTCGACGACAACCTCCCCCAACACCCAACATGTCCCACAACCCCCCTCCTCACAGGTAACCTCCTCCAAACGCACCGCGCGCGCCGCGCTTCGAGAGTACTACAATCTAAAGTCGGTAACAAACAAGCCTCTGCCCGCGACCCCGACAGTGGAGGTGACCCAGCCTTTGTCGCCGGCAGTGGGGTTTCATTCGGAGCTGGACGCGCCGGGGTTTGATCCTGCCGCATATGTGTCAAACCTCGTCTCTACCGCATCCCTGGCAGAACTCCTATCGGCGTATACACGTGTAGCGTCGGAGATGCGCGCGCTGGATGCCGAACGCAAGGGGTTGGTATATGATAATTATTCGAGGCTGATTGGGGCGACGGAGATGATACGGAAGATGAGGCGTGCTACTGAAGGCGAGGGGGAAGAAGGGGATGAGGAAGGGTGGAAGAAGTTGCAAGAGGTTGTGGGCGAGGTGTATAGCCTGGCTGAGAAAGTGAGGACGGAGGCTGGGTTGGGGAGGTCTGCTGGTGGTGACCAGACAGAAGATGAAGAGCAGAAGAGGAGGAGGGAAAGGACGCGAGAGCTGGCGAGGGAGGTTGTGAGGGCTGTAGGTAGGGTGAAGAAGTTGGTTAGGGAAGGGAGGGTTGAGGAGGCTAAGAAGGAGTGGGAGATGCCACGGAGGCTGTTGGTTAAGTGGAAGGAGATGGGGGTTGGAGGAGAGGATGTGGGAGGTTTGTTGGAGGATGGGGATGCTGCGCTTAGACAGGAGAATGGGGAGAATCGGGAAAAGGAGGGTCAGTCTACGAGCGAAACTGAGGAAAAGTCAGAGGAGACTCAGTCGGCGAAGGGCGGTCAAAGGTGACCAGCCGAAGGAGACCACAGGGTGACGGATAGCCAGGTCAAAAGCTTTGAGGAGCTATGACGGACGCCAAGGGTCATATTTCGTCGGCTGAGTCAGTGTGTAATGGTTGCAGAGCCGGGAGTTGTTGTTCGGATTGAGGTTTACGTTAGATACCCCCTAGTTAATCATTAATACAGCAGCGCAGGGATTGTCTGTCGCTGCCTGCTCTTCTGGCATCTACGGCCCTTTCTGACCACATCTAGTCTATCTCCAGTCCAAATTTTCAGGGATGAGTCGCTCATCATCTGATACAAATGACCCTCATCCACTCCCCAACCATGGAAGCCCTCAAATCTTCATTTCCCTCTCTATCCCAGCCGCGTCAGGTAGAAGAATTCAAGCGTGCATACCCTCCCTACAACTCACTAACATCCCAAATCTCAAACGGATCCCTATCCTCCTCACTCACAATCACCTCCGCCCCCTCCTCCTTAAGCAATTCCTCCAACCTCGGCTTCATCACCCCCTTGAGATACCCCCTCTCCGAATTACTATGCAACACCATCACTACCGCCTTCCCCAGCATCCCCAACCTCAACGCCACATGATGGCTCATTTCCCCCGTCACATAGCAATCGGCATCCACATCTTTGAACACATCCGCCCCGGACCCAGCACACACGGCCACACTTCTGATCAGGGCCTCCTTCGGATCGGAAGCATTATGGGGAGGGGAGACAATCACGTGGCGGAAGGAGCCTAGGCCGGAGGCGTAGGCCTTGACGATGGAGGAGAGGGAGGTTGGTTGGGAGAGGGTAAGAAGGCGGCCATAGCCCGATTGCTCGAAGCCGGGGGGCGCAGGGGTGCGCAGGGGCTGGGCGATGGACCGGGAGGAGAGGGGAATGTTGTGGGATGGGAGGATGTCGGCGAGCCAGTCGTTTAGGCCGGAGGGGGCGGCGTCGACGGCGGTATGGGGGGAATCTGAAGAGGGGTGATTAGATGGGTTATCATGCATTTCGAAAAGAAAAGGGTGACATACAGACTGCAATGTTGGCTTGTGCCAGGCGAAGGATGATGCGTTGGTGCGGTTCATTGGTCGTGATAGATTTGAGGCCGCGGAAGATGAAGGGGTCTTGTATGTCAGCTTCATTACCATCAAAGAGCATCGCAGCCAAGCTCATCTCTCAAGACATACGATAGCTCACAATCACCGAAACCCCTTTCTTCACAGCCTCCTCAGCGACTCTCTCAGTAAGGTCGTTCGTGAGCAGCACGCGACGAGGGACGTCCCCACTGGCTGGGGCGACATTGTCCTGCAGCAGTCCAACATTGTCCCAGGCACGATCGGCTAGTTCCTCGGGGTAGCTTCATACTGTTAGCAGCTGATGCACACGCACAAAAAATGTGCTGAACGTCGAATGAGTGGTGACACACAGCGAGCGCATAGCCTGCACCACGCGCTGGGTAAAAGCTGGGCTTGAAACTGATGCCATTGTGGATGTTCTCCTTATAAAAGTACTGGGCGCGAATTGCAATGACCGCAAGACAGACGTCGCGAGGCTCATCTCGCAGGTCTCTGTTGACAAAGGTTTACCACAGCTCACCCCTCTCCTCCAGGACCCGCCGCTGTGAGCATTTACCAACCCTAACCCTGGCTCTTAGCGCGGGGTTCCGCCATCGGCTCTCCTTCCCTCCTCATTCTGCACTCTCACGTCTTCACTTGCTTACCTTTCACCCGCTGACGCTCAACAAATCCACGCCGAGTCAGTGAGACACAGAAAACAACATGGCTACAACACAAATAACAGAAGCCTCTATCCGTGAGGCATTGATTGAGAGGCTTAAGGCCTCGCACGTCGAGGTGCAGGATCAGTCTGGTACGTGACGTCACTGTAATACGCGGACCCGAGACACATTAGGCTCATGGCCCCGCATCGTGCATCTGAACCCTGGACCAGCCTCAACAACCCCTGGGTTGGCGATGCTGGTTAAGCCCCCTTCATGTTTTTGGTTTCTGAACGTCTTATTTTGATTCAAAGCTCTCCCTTCTCTCTCTTCCTCATCAAACTCTCATCTATCAGCTCTTTCGCATCCCTCCCCCTCAATCACCACCCTTCTACCCCGTACTTCCCTAAATATCTGTTTACCTCACCCCTTATTCACCCAGACCCTGATGCTCCTCTTTTCTCCAACAGTCAACTCACCTGATTCTTGTCCGAGCCAGGTGGCTGCGGCCAAGCCTTCACAGCCGTCATCGTCTCGACCGAGTTTGCTGGCAAACCCTCGCTCCGCCGTCACCGCCTCGTGAATGCCGCCCTGAAAGACGAGATTGCACAAATCCACGCCTGGAGTGCGAGGTGTCTCACCCCAGAGGAGTGGGAGAGGGAAAAGCTGAGTTCGGAGCCTAGGCTGGGGTCTTGATGTTGGGAGGAAAGGAGGAAGAAGTACCGGGTGTTGAGGGTAAAGGGGGATGTTAAGGATAAGATGGTGAGGGGAGAGAAGAGAGGATTTTGGAGAGTATTGAGTTGAGGGAATAGGAAGATGGGTCAAAGAATCTGCCGGGTTTTATCCAACTGGAGTTCAGGGACTACAATAATTGCAACAACAACAGCCTGATATGATATGTGGCTTAGTGATGGAAAGCAATACCGATCTGTGGTTAATCGACCTACTACGAGAATCGTCTATGGTTGCTGCTAACTGACAAGCCAAAAATGCCATTGGCAAAAAGCATAGCGCCAAGTCAAACAAGCTGTTGTTTGCACAAAGATATCGCCTGAGCATTCCTAACCGGTTGCTAGGCCAGGCATCACACAAACGCACAGGACCCTACTAGTGACTCTTGACACCACTACACCGCAAGGGCCATTGAAAAGAGGCTCCAAGATCTGGGCATATAAATCCCCAGCTACCCTGGACCCGAGAACATCATACTTGATGGCGTTCTATGCTGTTCAATTTCTCTGATTGGGCAAATGTCGTGATATCTCGAAGAGGGCTGATCTTGAGTGGACCATGGCCAAGGGACAGGATGCCAGGATACAAAAGGACAATTGGACCTCAAAGGACTCAACAGCTGACAGGTATTGCCAAAACACCCGTCCGATTTGCCCATGCTCTAAAGACCATCACAACAGAAAAAGCCCCAATGCAAACAATAAAATCAACCCAGCAGCCCACTTGGACTGCAACGAAACCCGCTCCGCCCGTTCATCCAGCCCTGACTCCTCCTGCTTAACGCAACTGCCAGCTGCAGGGGCCCGTTCCGTCCTGCAGGCTCAGCGTGGCAGCCCATCGCTAGGGCGCACTCACACCCTGGACTGCACTTGCACACCACCTACACCCACATTACCCTCTGCTTATGCAGACTGTTGGTCACAGTCCTGCTCTGCCTGCTCCTGAGCGTTGCTCGCCTCGGTCAGCGTGGTCACCATCTCACGCAAGGTCTTGACCTGCGCGTTGGTCTTGGCTACGATACGCTGTGCCGACCGGCAGAGCTCATCAAAGCCCATCATACAACCCCTTACAGGGCTTCCTTCGGCCACTTGGCTGCACTGAGTGGGGTCGAGCTGCTGCTGCCTAGCGTGAAGCAACTGGAACGCGGCAGCACACCGCTGGTACGTCTTGAGCTGCCGGAGCAACATCTTGACGGTCTCGTCATTGTTCACGTTGGGCCTCGTTTTCTCCTTTGATGCTTGGTGGCCGTCAGTCTCCAGCATCTCAACCTGCTCACGAAGTGCTTCAATGTCTCAAGAGGTTCTCACTAATCTTGTGCTGCTGCTCCTCCTTGTCCATGCACACTTGATCACCTGATGAAGCTTTGCTTAGATCTCCCGGGTGATATTGCCCAAGGTTTCGATGCTACGCCGACACTGGCAGTTTTCAGTGTGAAGTTTCTCCCTCTCAACGCTGAGCTCGGCCTTCCGCTGAATGAGATGCGTCGGTTATTGGGCTGCTTTTCAACCAGTGCCTTCACTTCCTCAGAGTCGCTTGTTCTCCTCCGTCAAGAACAGCAGTGCCTGCCATTGATACATGAGCTGCTTTTCCAACGGGTACATTGGCAGTGTCACCAATTCCTCCTGCTTTCTCGGGCTAGGGGTGACGGAGTCCTTGGATCACGCAGGATCTCATTGAGGTGGTAGTTGAGGGTAGCCTCGATTGACTCAGCCAGGACGTTCAGAAGGCCTTGGATCTCATTCGTGTCGATCCGTGCAACATGGTTCTGTTCCTGGTTCACAGACATTTCGGTTGGGTTGTTTCGGCTTCTGCAGCGTGTTGTATGCAGAGAAAGGAAGTTTGCGCGAAGTCACAGCCACTTTCACAACGCGGTCTTGTTGAGAGGATCGTAAGATCAAAAATAGAGCGACATTTGGTTTATATCGAGCTAACTAGATAGCTAAGCTGACAAGAAGTTGAATCTCGAAGTCGGCTTGATACGACAGGATTGGATCAATAACTTGGATCGCGAAGATAGTGAGTGGGAGGCTGTGATGCGTAGGAACACGACGATAATATATAAGCAAGAAAGCGGTCAAAGGAAACATTCAAGGAGAGAGTATGAATGGAACTGAGAAAAAAAAAAGTTATGGCCATATCGAGGCCACATTTGTGCATGGCAGGCGCAAAACTTTGGTTGGACAATAACAAGATCCCACCCACCCTTGCCCTTCCAAAGTGTTGTCTCCTCATTTGAGGAACAGGCCACCCTCTTCCGTGGCTGCTATTGTAGAAAAGACTATACTGGTAGGAAACCCTGAAGGATGGTGATTTTTCTATCCGAGTACTCGAAGCTAATAAAAGCTAAGGCAATGGCATGACGTGTCTGTTCGGCCACCTCAACCTTCGCGTTCATGGCAACCGCCCCATGTCCTTAAACTTATCATCTGACTCTGATAGCAGCTATATTATACGTTCCATTTGTAGGCAACATGTGCTCCTGTTCTCAAAGAACGGAGGAACAAGGCGGATGACAGAGTTTATATCTGATTAGTTGATCATGACTGGCCAAGGCTAAGGCAGTGTGTATATCACCACTTTAGTCTGTTTGGTATCGTCGTCTGCTGTATATCAGTGAGGAATCTATTAGTATCCAGGAAATAGCAGCCTTGATCCTCAAAGCGGTTGTGTCACGTCTCTAAAGCAGTTATCACACTTCTTGAACAGGATGAACATCAAACTACATGTACCTTAGTAATATCCCTATGTAGAGGGGTTGTTAGTATCGTACACTTGTACTCTGTTAAAGCATGAAATGGAGTGGCTAAAGACCCATAAGCTCATGTCCCGGGGTGCTAGCTCTATCGGGGGAACTGAATCCCTCAAGAAACCACGCAGGACCCCGTCTTGAAGTCAGGGACCATAGCCCAACCTGCACTAGTATGGCCTTCCTCCTCATCATTCTCCTCATCTTTGTCCTCCTCCTTGTTGTCATTCTTCTCCCCCACCGAGGGCTCTTTGTCCTCCTCCTTGGCAGTCACTTCAGGCATTCCCACAGCGATCCAATCCTGGAGCCCGCTGCTCACAACAATGTGTTCCGCAAGCCTGTTAATGTGATCATCAAGCTTGGCAATCTGCCGAATCAGCTTGTCGTTCTTCTTTTTGAGCTCATCAATCTCCTTAAGGTAACTGTACTCTCTAATACGGAGCATTCCAATCTCTTCTTGCAGAGCACGTGTCTTGAAGTGATTCTTCGCACCAATCCTCTCAAGAAGCTCATTCTTCCGGGTACAGTTCTTGATCTCCTCTGACTGCTGGCGAATAGTGTTATGTAACTCATCAAACGCCTGATCTCTGTCAAACTGGCTGCTCATGGCAGAGACACTTCCAAGAATCAGCTTGCGGACGCGAGTCTGCAAAGACTCAATCTCCTGGTTCTTGGCAATAGCATCCGTATGCAACCGCTCAATCTCCGAATCCTTAGCCCTGAGAAGCTTCTCCAGTGCCACGATGCGCTTGTCGTTTGTAGAAGGGACGACCTCCCAATTGTGGTGCTTCGTGCACTGGTCGAAGACCAGACCCCTAAGAGCCCTGATCAAACCTTTGTCATTAGAAGACCTGGAGCTGGTCATCTCCTTCTCGTAGAGACGCGTGTAAAGGTCACCGATGACTTCTGCATAGTGCTCGAGGGCGGCATCCTTCTGTTTGAGGGCGTTGTACGCGCATGCGTATTCACGCTCGAGGGACTGAATTTTGGCTTGGAGATGATTGGGGTTGGGTTGCTTGGAAGTCATGGTGGTGGAGTGAAGGGGTGAGTTGCTTATTTAAAATTGGTCGCTCTGAGGACTTAGAGGAGAGAGAGGGATGGATTGCTGGGGTGATGAGACTGAGCAAGCGCTCAGCTCTTCATGTAAGGCGGAAAAGCTGTGCGAGGATAAGCAAGCGGTTGATCACTTGGATGGATGAATGGTAAGTTAAAACGTGGTCGATGATATACAAGGATGAGAAATAACAAACTGATCCTTGTTGAGCGTGCCTTTTCAATCCTTCACGACACCAATTATGTCTTGAAAAGACCAATATAAGTTGCTTGGGCAATGGGATCGAGCTATTTGTAGCTCAATTCCTGTGAGGTGAGAGTCTAAGAGGTCGCCTAGGTAAATGGTGAGCTGGGACTCGGTCAGTGATGAGCTAGGGTGAGAGCTCGTGGAGTAATCTTTTAATGTTATCCCCTTTTGGTCTCGCCTGAAGTTCTTAACACCTCCTTGGTTTTTTTCTCTGGTAGAAGCTGATGAGTCAAGAGGTGAGCACAGAGTGAAGTGTCGGGGTGGTCCAAGAGTGATGTTGCAGAGAGGAAGTTTTTGTGGATTTTCGAAACAGTATAAAGGAACAATTGGTTTGTGGAGTTGCTAGAGATCAGCTACGAATTTTTAGTTTACCGACTTTACGAAGTTGGCATTGTTAAGATGAAATATGGTTCTATAGAACATACCAGCTGCGTTCACGTCCAGTGCAGCGTAACGCGTAGCCAAGAAACAAGAGGAGAGAGTCCCCACACATGTTTCTATTCCCTTCATAACTCTGTTATTCAGGGATCTGAGGATTTGCCTCTTAGTCAAAAGCTTCTATCAGCTCTGACGACATATCACATTTAGTTCCTAGTCATTACTCAGAGACATGAGCTTGAAAGTACCAATGTTGTTAAGTTGCATACAATCGTCCTCCAAAAACCCAATTTCCAGTTTTTCCTTGCTGGATGTACAGGGAAGGGAATTCTCTTCTTCATAAGCCAAGATGTTGTTGAGAGCCCTCAGTAAAGGAAGCTTTGGCAATCTCCTGGAGGCTACATCTGTTCGAAGACTGTGACGTAACCTTCAATCGGAAAGTTCCTGTTCTGGAAGAGTTCCTTGCCCTCTCTGAGCCTCGAAGTCTTCGGGCGTAAAGATCAGGTTTACTCTATTTGATTCATCCATGTCTGGATTAGACGGATTGTCAGTTTCTGGAGCTGGCAAGGTCAAAGATTGCCAGGTTGGCGTATCTTGAGAGTCAAGCAACTGGAAACTTGTAAATCCAGCATATTCAATAAAGCGTGGATAACAGCTGTTTTACCTTTAGGTGACCAGTCTGCAGTAAATACTACCGCAAAGTACCATCAAAAATTCAGAAAAATGGGTGCTCCCTCGATACTGAGGCGATGTTGAGACCTTTGGGTATGCGAAACATGTCGACTCGGAAATGAGCCCTGGACTCTGGTCGTTAACCTGGAGGGGGAGTAGGGAAGAACTGGGGAAAACTCTCTGTGCTATACAGCAACGCTGCCTACCCCTCATTTACGTTCAAATAAAAAAAAGCCCCAATGGAGACCATCACATCAAGGCTGGAAATCACGGCAACATTCAGCAACAAGTCGTGCACTGCAGAAGATCCATGCTACTTCCACAATATAAGCACGACTGACCAATTCACTTTTCTTGAAGCTAAAAAAATGCACCCTATTAAGGATGTAGGTCAGGAATCAGCACACGACCCAACATTTGAAATTTGATCTACAGCCATATTCAAGTCAGCCATACATATCGACAAAGCTACTCCGAGAAAAATACTGACTGCAGCGTTAAAAACTTCCAGATCATGTGAAAAAAGCGGAAGATCCGGGCAAGAATTTCGGGGAGATGATAGACTTAAAAGAAAATGAACTATTCCTGCGATGAGAAGCTCCCAGTCAGTTATTGATGAAGGCAGTTTCGCTGTTTCTGCCTTTCTCTTGCTCCCTTAAGAGTTCTTCATTTTTCCGAGAAAGATCCCGACGAAGCTTCTGAGTTTCAGCCAACAGTTCTTTATTACTCTTTGTCATCTTCTCCAGCGCATCTTGTAGGGCTTTATTTCGTTCCAACAATTCATGAACTTCTTGATTATCCTGGTTGGACTCCCCTGCCACCCTCTTGTTTGTGGTCCCCGGCTCTCTTGTCCCATGTTCTTCAATGCTGTATCTATCACAGAGCAGATTGATATCGTGCTGCATTTTCTCAAGCTGCTGAATGGCTCGATTATAGCGTTCACACAATGCTTCCTTCCCCTGCTCCAAGAGTTTGATAATTTCTGTAGTCAAGTCGTATAGCCGGTTAAGGGTCTCGTTGTACTTTTCGAGTTGTTGCACATGCTGTCGCGTCTGCTCAAGTTCCTGATGAAGGGCCTTGCTTTGTTGTTGAAGACTGCTGAGTAACTCAATCTCTGGGGACTTTTCTATAACGTTAAGTCTGAGATCTGCAAACTCCCTGATAGTGTTGGCGTTGCTCTGCAGCATATCCTTCAGGCTCTGGATGTCCCTTTTCAGGCTGGAGATGTGTTGGTCTTGCTCCTGAATCTTTGCGTTCAGATTTTCAACTTCTTGACCCTTGAGGACAAGCTTCTCCTCGTGATTGGCAACCTCCACTTCTGGATCTCTCGTCCTTGGCTGTTGGCGTAGGATTGACACGTTAGCATTGGCTACGGAGTGGTAAGACACGGACAACCTATCATTAACTAGTTGCCTTGGAAGTCTAACCATGCACAACTCTGAATAGGAAAGCTCGTTACCTTTTGAGATGTGTGAAACAAAACCCTTATCTCGTGGACTTGAGGCTGGCACGTCATGTTGACTAAGTTCGCGACAAGTGACGTCTGGAGAACCAGGGCCTGGAGGATATCAAACCAGAAGATGTGGATAACTCCTGAGGATGTTTTCGGGTTGAACTTTGAATCAGGATCCGACACTTGTCATTTTCTCAAAGCCCTCGTCGGCATTTTAACGAAATGGCTCTGGCAAACGGGCATGAAGCCGTTTATTGTATTTCCGTTCAACAAGATGCCTGAGTCCAACAGTCTTGTCCCTCTTTTCTTCCTCTGTTTTCTGGTTATGGCCAATCAGAGGAAGACTTGGTAGGATAAACCAAACAGGAGTGGCTACCCTGAGCGTTTGCACACCCAACACCACAACTCTTTCTCTGCTCCGTGCGAAATGGTCCCCTCCAGCGCCGGCGTCCTGGCGGCGTTCCGGAGGGCCCGCGATCAGAAGGTCAGAGAGCTCAAAGCTACGATGTCGGTCGTCGAGAAGCTGCTCTCCGCGCTCAAAGACGTCGAGAGGAACCTTACTGGCAACTACGAGAGAAAGGTTGGAAAGCAGATCATCACGAAGCTCCACTCCTTCATCCAAGTTTCGATGACCGATGGCCCCCAGCCCTCTTCCCCTGTGGTCTACCATTGGAACGGGCTAAAGCCGGGAGCCGAACAGTCAACCTGCGAAACAGCACAGGAAGCATCATATAGGAGTATTAAGACCAGAAGCTGAGCCGCCCCATCATGTCATGTTCTGCCTTATATGACGAAGCAACTCCTGCACACATGTACCGCGCGTAGTAAACGGAGAGTATCATGGCTGCTCGAAGAGTCCCTGAACCTAACGCCAATGTCCTTCGCCCTACTCCCTGTCCCAACACCCAATGATTGAAACAGACGTCAATACCAAGATCAGGATCGCACAAGCTGGGTTCCCTCAGCCACGCTCTCCGCCTTAACCCCCAAACCAACTCCTCCTCATGCCCCTCCCTAACCCAATCACACGGAAAATAAAAAAGCATCACATTTTTCCCCGGATATCATTTTCTCCGTCATTAATCTCCTTCAATAACCTCGGATGCTCCTCGATCAGTTTTACCCGTGAGATCATGCACATCACCTATTATCCCGGCCATACCAACCGCCCTACTCAACCCTGCTACCTTCTGTATCAGCTAGCTATTGAAGGTCTTCACTTCATCAGACCCTCAATGAAACGTTACTGTGGCGACAGAAGCTTGCCGTTATGTCCTCACCTCGGTTTGGAGATGCTCGTTGGCCTGCTTCTGCAAAATCCCCAGCTGCTGCCGCAAGGCAGCGATCTCCTTATACTTGGCCTCAAGCTCTAAGACCTGGGCCTGCTCCCGTTCACGGAGGGCAGCGTTTTCGGCGGCGAGGGCAGCAGCTTCAGCCTGCACACGGGCGAGTTCTTCAACGGCTACGGCCTTCTGTTGCCGGAGGGCATCCATCTGGGCGACGACGACGTCAGCCTGGGCACAGGCAGCCTTATCCGCTGCAAGGGCCTCCTCGAGCGCCTCACGGAGGGCATCAATCTTCGCGAATGAGTCGTCCAGCTCGGAGGTAAGCTGGTACACCTTGTTGTCTTGTGCGGCTAGTTGGTCGGTGAGATCAGCTATCGTCGCATTCTTTTCTTTCATTTGACGGTCTCTATCGATGAGTTGCTCGCACAAATTTGAAATTTTTTGTTCTGCGTCCCCAACGGCGTGATTATCGAGTTCGGTTGCGACGCAGTCCAGCCAGTCGTGGATTGAGGCCCACGCTTGGATGAGGAAGAGCAATTTGGTGATGTCGTCAAGTGTTATCTCCGTTTGTGAAGCACAAATCTGAAGGGACAAAGCTTCAAGTTCACTGGAGACTTTGCCCAGATACAGCGTCACGAAGTCGCCCAGCAAGGCCAGGATCTTGCGGCCTGTTGTGAAGGCGGTCGGAATGTGCTGGTGCATCAGGGTCCTTTGCCAGAAGGTATATGCCGCAATGCCAACAGTGAAGGCTCGGTGCTTGAGGTCCTGACAGTCAGTGGGCGGCGCAGGCGAAGATAGGGACTCACATTCGGCGAAAGACGACATGGTGCTGCTACAGTAGAGGGTCGTAGGGGGTGACTACGACAGGCAGAGCTTTTCGTACTAAGCAGAGAAAAAAAAAGAAAAAAGATAAAAGAGACAAAGACGCCCAGACGGAAAGGCAAGATGCTTTCGTCACTTCTACAAAAGTAAGAGAAGTGGTTGCGCCGGAGCCTGGGTGAAAGAAGTTGGTTGGGCAGTGAAAAATGGCTGTCTCAGGAAAGCTGTGTCATAGGCGCTGTGTTATAACGTTGTATGAAAAAGAGAAAAGGTTCGCGATCTAGTGTGTGGGAGGGAGGAAGAAACACTGCCTCTGGACTTTTTCGGAAGGAGGAAGAAATTCTCGAAATCGCGACTATGCAAAAGAAGCACAATAGCAAAGCATGAACGTGTGCATTGGGTGCGCAATACTTGCCGGCTGTTTTAACTATGTTATCCTTCCTGGATGGCAGTAGTGAACTTATCCGCGTCTCCTTTCCATCGTCCTGGCCGGCACTGCCCTGACCAGAGTTAATCAGACTTGTGAGCATTTTTACCGACTTTTCCATCCAGTTTATGAAATACCATTAACAGGCGGTACTATAGGAAAAAGCGTTATCGGTCTTCCATGGAAGGTAAAGTCAATCATGGATATCGGTCGTGGAAGCCAGTTCTTTCAGGTTAGTCTGTGATAGTCAACGTCAGCAGGCAATGCTCTAAAAAGGAGAGCTCTATGTAAGAACGGACAGAGATCTCTAGAAAACTCTATTCGTCAATCAAGGGAGATAGGAATACCTTAGCTTGTTCTCTATCTCCCCATAGTTTAGATGTACAAGATGTAAGCTATTAATTACTGAGGGACAAACCCTGGGCGAAACTCATTTTTCTGTTTCTCAAGTTATGACCTCTTCTTTTCTAGAACAGATTCTGAGTACCGACATCGCGCTTGATCTCTATCTCCAGCTCTATTGATACCACAAGAGTGTTTCTCATTTGGCTTGGGCTAGCAATTTGAGGTGTCCAGTGATTGAGCAGCTTGTACTTTTTGGACAGCTCACAAGAATAAGAGCTCTAGAAATGGAAATAAATTGAGATCACAAAAAGATGATTGACCAGTTCATCACCTCGGCAGCGGTGAGGTGACCGGCTAGGGAAAAGACCCCCGGGGAGGTTTTGCTTCATCATACTGCGGCGGCAGGAAAAACAAGCCCCTACCTATCACCGGGTTCACTTTTTTAGGATGGGTAGAATCGTTGCCTGCTGCTCGAGTTGATCTCCCGAGCTCGCGGTCAGCCGTGGAATTACCGACTGTTCTTTCAGGTGGCTGTGATCCTCTTACATGACTATTTGGCCCAGTGGGAGGAGCAGATTGTTGGCAGCGGTGCCACGAAAGTAATGTCTACAGTTTGGAAAGGGGCTGGGTTAGAAAGGCGCCGGAGGACGGGGGTAGTCCATGCTCTGGCAGCGAGAGATCTTCGGCGCCTGCTTCCCGAGCAAATGCGCACCTGTGTCTTTCATAGTACGTACCATTAAATCCCTGTCAACCAGCTTAGAAGAAGACAACAGAAGTACTCACCATTTCTTTCTTAACCACCAAAACTCTATCCTGACACCATAACGATATCCCTGATTGCCTAGCATAGCTCCAGCCTGTCTCTCTGTGACATCCTCCTTATATGCTCCTTCGTTATCATCCAGTCAATACATTTTCTTTATCCAACCTCAACCTCTTGTCCTGTTACCATCAGAATCACTACCCCTCTGGTGATCTAGTAGATCCCCAACATCTTCCCCAACTGGGCCCAGCGGCCTCTTCATGGACGCCATTATTGACTTATACGACGGTGCAGAAGTTTCCTGAAAGTTGGAGTCTTGGAGGGAGTCATTCAAGCGGCTTTTTTATATTGCGTAGATCCATCAGGTGGGTTGGGTACGCTAAACTCTTCAGGATGGTCCATGCCAGGTTGCTGTCCGTGGTTGTCTTTCGACTAAGATTGGGATGTATCTTGGCAGTATATATGAGTGGACAGGACAATTGCTTGAGTTGCTGATGCAGTTTCTCTATCACAGACTGCCATTCTTCTGGGGATATATATATGTGATAAATAAATGATTTCTGAGTTGATCTTGACATGAAGAGGGCGGGGATGAAGATCACACAGGAAGTTACTGGCACCTAGTTTCACTCTGAAGTGGCTTGGGCAGCTGCCACTTGGACTACATTGAAAAGTTCTTTGTTCGAGGTTCTGGGGCTCTTTACAGAGTTGTGATATGAACCCATTAATGCTCGACCCCTGATGTCTAAGCCATTGCCGCTCCCATGTCTCACAATCCAACCTGCTGCCAACGAACTGTCAAACTGTCACTAGTTATTCTTTCTCCTGCTCCTCATCACCCAGACTTTGGACGGCTTCCATGGAGCTACCAGGCCAGCTCCAGTCTTCTAGTCCATACCCAACATGGCGTTTCTGAAGAGTTCCCTCTGGCTTCGGCCACGCCCACGACAAAAGTCCAACCCCCCTCTCAACACACCACTGATATGTTGGCCCCATCCTCAGCCACCACTCCCCTCCGACCTCAATACCCCCTTGAAATGCCGTCCTTGTGGCCACGGTAACTCTCAACATCTCAGCAACACCAGGATTCTCCAAGGAGAGAGTCCTCCTCCCAGCATTTTGCCCCTGTTCATGAGTCTGAGCAGCGTCAAGAGAGGAACTACTCCCAAAAAACAGATCTAACAGCGAGTTAACTATGCAATCGACAATACCCTCTCTTCTTTCTTCGTCGAGTTCCAAAGATAACTGGTTATTCTCCTCTTGTAGCCTAGCGTTCTCTTCCTCTAGCCACTGAGCCCAGTCCCGCCACTGCCTGGTTTCCTCAGTCTCTTTGCAGACTTGGACCCAGAGGTCGCCAATTTCGGCTTTAAGTTGGGTGTTCTCCTTGCGAAGGGCTGTAAGCTCCTCTCTGGAGAATTGATCTTCCTCGGGGGTTTCGGCGTCGTCATGTTCCTCAATATCGATGTGGGTCTGCTCGGAGAAGGCTCTATCATCTTTATTTGAGGGTGTAACATCGTTTCCCGACATCTGTCCCCCCTCTCCTGATGTTCGTTCGTAGTCAAATTGCTTTGATCCCAACAGCCCATGGCCATTTTCTTCATCCACAAACCGGACCTTTCTCTTTCTTGAGTGTACATCCTCCTCTTCTCCCCCGTTCCCAGCCGAGGCCGCGCACCATTTGAGCTCTCCCAAACTACCCTTCATCCCTGTATCCCCCTCTTGTGATGGCCCTCTTGTTCTCGCATCCCATACATGCTCCTCCGCCCACAGTTCCCATGATGGTTCTCCAACAGTCAACCTCGTCGACCACTCCTTCTTCTTCCTTACTCCCCTAACCTGCTCCGATATAATAACTCTACCCTTGTTGACCTCTGAAATATAATGTTTCTTCTTCTTGTCCTCCTCTTCCTCCTTCCTCCTAACCCATTCGCCCCTCAGCTCCTCCAGCCTCTTGCGCAACTCCTCTCGCTTCCAGTCTTCGCCCTTGCTAATCCCCATCTCCATGTTGATATTATTGAGCCCCTCTCTTACAGGCCTTTCTGTCCTCGACTCAGTTGTTTCCGAACCCGAATCCGAATCCGAATCCGAATTCGAATTCGAATTCGAACTCGACCATGAATTCCTATCGCATGTTTTCGCGATCTCCCCCACCTTAGCCAGCTTCTCTTCCTGCTTCTGCCCCATGCCAACCCTCTCCCAGCGAGTGTCATTCTCCTGCTTGAGAAGCTCGATCTTGAAGTTCAGGCTGTCAACCTTCTTACCATAGCTCCGGACTTCCTGCTCGAGCCTCTTGATCTCGTGGAATAACTCGGCGATGGACACATCTTGTGAGGTTGAAGTCACAATGTCCTTTTCTTTGTCGGACAAGTCAGCTGTCGCGCTGGGGGGTTGGGGACAATCATATCTGGCTTCGGGGTGGATGGAAAGGAAGGGGATATTTGGGGGGTTGGTATTGAGTTTTGCGGAGAGACGTTGGAGAGCTTTTAGTACGTTGTCGTTGTTGCCATCATTGCTTTCGCACAGATCGGCAGGGAGTGCATGGGAATTGTTGTTGTTGTTGTTGTTATTGTTGTTGTTGAGGGGTTCGGTGATGTCGTCCATCATGGGTCGCGGGTGGTGTTCGTACTTAGGGTCGGTTGTGGGCGTGAGAGGATCGGAAGTAGCGTCGTCAGTCATGTTTTCTTTTTTGTTTTGTTTTGTTTTGTTTTTTACTAGGTAGAGAACTCGAGTCGTAGAAAATCCGAGGTTATGGATGATGAAATGGATCGGAGAGTCGGTGTGGATATGGGTTTTTAAGTAGGAAGTCGGCATGGCCTAAAGGAGGACCGACTTTGGGGAAGTGGGAGGAAAACACAATCGATGACTGTATACGTGAATAAGGCTGTGAAAAACAGACATACAAGACTAATAAAAATAAATAAATAAATAAATAAAAAATAACTAGTATTTTGCTTTATGTCGTCCAAACAGCCAAATCCCTATTCTTTACCCATACACGCGCTATATTCACACAAACCGCAAACCCATCCTCACTCAGTTTTCTCATTACCCCCCATACTCTAAATCCCCAACCCCAGCCTTTCTCCCCCCCCCCCCCCCTTTTTCCTCCCCCCTTTTCCTCCCCCCTTTTTAACTCCGTTTCCTAAAGTCCCTACGCCGCCCCAACAACAGCCAACCCTTCATAAATCCTCCTCCTAACCGCCAGCAACGTCCCCCAACCCCCTTTCTCTTCCTGATTCACACCTAATCCGATACTCTCCACCTCCACCCGTCCAGCTCCCGTCTTCCTGACTACAACGCTCCCGTCCACAAGCAGCGTGCCCTCCCCTCTAAACTCAGCTCTATGCCCCGCAGCCAGCAACCCCCTGCGCAAATCTGCTAATCTCAGATCGCCTACATGCAGCGGCTGCACGCCGCCGCTGCGGACTGTAGCTCCCGCGAGTTGGGGAGGGAGGATGTCTAACGTAGGTAAAGAGCGGTTGGCTGTTTCGGGTGTAGTCAACGGCACAGGGAGAGATAAATCCAACTTGGCGCGTTTCGAGTCCGGTTCTTGAGGTTGTTGTTGCTGCGCGGGTTGGGAGAGCGGCTCAACGCCGGGCGGCAGCAAAAGACCCGTGACGGTGACGATGCCGAGCCCGCGAACAGTCTGCCATTTGAGGTGTTTGACGAAGGAGTCGGTTAGCAGGACGGACCAGGCGTTGGTGTCGACGGAGGCGTTGATCGTTTCGTTTAGGAGGGGAGTAAAGATATCGGCGGAGACCGTCTTGGTCGGCATGGCCTCTGCTCCTTCGGGCTGAGAGGGAGCCGCGCCCAGGAGATTGCGGCAGTCTTCGGCTAGGGAGAGGGTTTCTTCTTCGGTGCCGCCTACGAGGATGAGCTTGCGGGGTTGGATGAGTGGAATGAGCATGTTCAGGCTGCGCTTGTCGTGCAAGCCGCTGAAGTCGACAAAGGCGATGCGCAGGTGTACTTGGACTGTCTGTTGAGCAACAACCAGCTTGGCTGGGCCGAGGACGGCTTCTTCGTCATCTTCCAGCTCATCGAGCTCGTCGCCGGGCTGGCCATCTGATGAAGCCGGGCCAGAGAGGGCGCCATCTCCCTCGTCAATGGAGCCCCGACGAGCAGGTCGTTTGGCCGGGGAGGTGGTGTTAGCCGTCGCGGCAGCGACATCGTCGAACTTGCGCTTCTTGCCGAGGTTGTGCTCCGGCTTCGAAGCATCCTGGGTATTCGCAGCCGCCGCAGCATCAGCCTCATCTTCCCTCTCCTCAGCACGCAGATAATCCTCCGGCCTGATCAACTCGCCAAACTCATCAACCCTCTTTCTCCTCAGCACCGTAGGAAACATCCTCTCCCTGCCTTTCTTATTCCTCACATCAAAGTCGTAAACGCCCTTCTTCTTGAGCAATATCGTAATCCCCAAATCCTCATCCGTCAACACAACCTTCTTCCTGCTCGCCTGTCCAATCGTCGTCGACACGTTCAACGCCTTGCCCTGCTGCTCTGTCTCTGACTCCTCTGATTCGGTCGTTGTCTCCGACGCGTCGTCAACCACGTCAGCCGACGCCTCTAGCGCCCCAGCCGCGCCACCGGACCGCAGCGTTGCCTGTAGCTGGCGCTGTGTCGCTAACCACTGCTGGTAGACTGTCAGCTCGGAGCCCTCGAGCGGGTGACGCGTGGATTCGGGCACGCTGAGCTCCCGCCCGCCACCATACACTTGCTCGAAGGTGTCGCCGGAGGCGGTCTGTTCGACCGCAACGCCGTCGCGCCGCTCGCGCCACCAGTCCCATAGCATACGGGCGATGGAAGGGCGGTCGGGGTTCGCGAGGTTGGGTTTCTCGGTTAGGATGACCAGGTTGCGTGCGTCGGAGGCGATAGCCTTCAACACGTCCTTGGAGAAGCCCCAATCCAAGCTCGTATCCGTAGCCAAGATGACAGTGCCCTTGGGCGACTCCCCTTCCGGCGGGGATGTCGCCTGCTGCAGGACACGCTCAATCTGGGCCTTGCGCTCGAGCAGGCGGAGATACTTAAAGTCGAACGGGCCCGCTTCCTTAGCCTTATTCCCTCCGCTGGCATTAGCCCCGCCATTTGTCGTCCTTGCGCCGCCGGCAACAGCCTCAAACTCCCGCACAATGCTATCATCCATCCACTCGAGCATACTCCTCGCATTGCGCATCGTGCTCCCCACGCTGCGCCCAGCAAGATACAATTTCGTCCCCTTGAACACCTCATTCTCCTTCGCAACCTCCGTCCTCCAGGCATGCTCTAGTAGGTACGCCAGCTCCAGCACGCGCGCACTCGAATCCACAGGGATCAACACCGTCCCACCCCGCGCAATACACAACTTCACACTCTCGAGCAGCTGCTCGTCCCTCCGTGCCCTAGGCAGCGCCGCATCAGGCGTGCGACTGCTACACACGAGCGCGGTCGGTTTCCTCAGCGGCTCGATCACCTCAGTACCTACCGCCGCACCATGCCCGCCACCGAGCCAGGCTGCGCCCGCGAAGACATTCTCGCGCGCTTGGTTCCAGTCGACGGCGTAGACGATGGACTCGAGTCCATGCTGGATGTGCCAGATTGTGCCGCCGAGGGAGTGGCCCGAGTTGTAGGCGGTGATGGTGAGCCCATTGAGAGGGGGTGAGAAGGGGGAGGGAAGGGGTTGGTGTGGCTGGGAATATTTGAGGGGCTGGATGAGGGAGAAGTAACGGATGATTTCGTCGGGGGTTGGGGGCTGGAGCAGGAGGGAGGAGGGCAACTCAGCACCGCCGGCGGCTTGGGGGAAGGCAAACGCGGTTTCGGCGAGGGAGGACTTAGGGATGGTCGTAGCAGCGCGGGGGTTCGACGCGTACAGGTCCTGGGTCAGAGTGCGACCCAGATCGATCACCGGTCGGGTCGCATACACCGGGATGCGTGTGAACAGCGGGAAGTGTTTGCAGCAGTGGGCGTAGGCGCCGAGGTGGTTGATGGTCGCGTGCGTGAGCAGGATCAGCGAGAGGGTCGGGACGTGTTTCTCGAGTTCGCGCAGGAGGGAAGGGTCAAAGGACTCGTCCCAGCCGACATCAATTAGGACCTTGACGCCGCCGTCTAGCTCAAGCAGCGACTGTGAGGCGGTCGACTCGGAGCGGGCGCCGAGGAGGGGTGTGAAGGAAAACATGTTACATGGCGTGCCGGCGGCTATTAGATACGGTTTTGTCGGTCAATTGAGTGTCGTTCTCGCAGTTTGGAACCTTGTAGATTGTTTTTTTTTGGGGGGAGGTCGAGGATGATGAGGTTGGCGACGGCAACGGTGTTGATGAAAAAGTGATGGAAGGCTGAGCTTCTTTGTCGCGTGGACCGCGTCAGAAGGCTGAAAACTGGCTGCCCATCTTTCTTCTGATTGGCTGATTCGAAGGTTGAAAATGGACCCACACACAGGCCCAGGAACGGACCCTGCAGCCAAGCCAGGGTCAGGCCAAGGCGGGACGCCAAGACAAGAATGCCAAGAACACAACAGTGGGGGGGCCCACCTAGAACAGCAGGTGGGGACGGAGACAGTGGGGCGCCCAAAAGGACAACTTTTGTGTCGACGAGGGGACCCTCTTGGACTCTGCGGCGCTTCAGGTGCAAGTGCAAGTGCAAGTGCAAGTTCAAGCGCAACTGCCTGAGGCTTGAGGCCAAAGCAGAGGAGGAGCCTGGAACAGGAGAGGAAGTGGGCCCAAACACACCACTCCTTCCCTCAACACCGCATTCTATCACCACCACTGCCGCCGTCGACTTTTTTACTTTCGAGTAATCGTCTGGTGGGCAGTGACAGTCGAGCCCCGACAAATCGAACGGCATCCATCCGTTCAACGAGTCGATTCCTCGATATCAAACGAAGTGATTATGAGGACCGCGTGCCACAGAGACGACGACGAGCACGACGATACCCACGCAACCCATCTGCGGTAACACAGCGATTAATTAGACAGAGTCCGACTAAACTACCTATCAAAAGACATCTTACCAGATATTCGACTCAGGTCCTGATACCTTGCCCTCACCGCCATGTCCGAGTACGCCATGTACCACGCCCTCGGCTACGGCGAGCCACTCGACCCGAACGACCCCTCGCGCACCACCCAGCCCGCTCCTCCCCAATTTCAGCCGCCGATTGCACCGAACCCATACCAGCAGCAGCAGCAGCAGCAGGCCCCCCGTATGGCGCTCCCCCGGGACCCCATCCCGCTGCCCCTCTTGCTCCAGGAGCCCCCGCCGACACACTCGCGGCCCAGATGGGCGCCATGAGCCTGGGAGACGGCCAACACCATGCCCCGACAACAGCGAAGAAGAAGAAGCGGGACCGCCATGCCTACCACACGGTCGAGGCGCCAGCCGGCTCGTCGCAGCCCTTCAACGGCATCCCCCCGGCCGGCACGCCAGCTACGGCCTACCTCAACAACGACCCCAGCGTCGCCCACAGCCAGTTTCCTGCGCCTGTGAACCCACCGTTTACCCCAACGCCCGCGTCGCCCCTCGAGTTCGCTGCTAGACAAGGTCACGAGGGCGTCCCAGCCGCCGTCTCAACTCAGAGCGGTCCGGGGAGCGGCGCCGGGAGACCGTCGCCCGACGAGATGCCCAGCGTCCCCGTATCGCGCGACTCAGTACAGCCACACTACTATAACAACGTATATCCGACCTTCCAGCGCTTGGTTCCTCCCCCTGCGACCGTCTCATACGTCGCTTTCGATCAGGGCAATGCCTCGCCCAAGTTCGCGCGCTTGACGCTGAACAGCATCCCCGCCACGGCCGATGGCTTGAAGATGACAGCACTGCCTCTCGGTCTCATCCTGCAGCCTCTGGCTCCATTGCAGGCCGGCGAGCTTGAGATTCCAGTCTTGGACTTTGGTGATGCAGGCCCCCCGCGCTGCCACCGCTGCCGTGCCTACATCAATCCCTTTATGGTGTTCCGTCAAGGCGGCAACAAGTTCGTGTGCAACCTGTGCGGCTACCCGAACGATACCCCTCCCGAGTACTTCTGCGCTACCTCTCCTCAAGGGATCCGCATCGACCGCGACCAGCGTCCCGAGCTGACGCGCGGCACCGTCGAGTTCCTCGTGCCCAAGGAGTACTGGACGCGTGAGCCCGTGCCGCTGCGGTACCTCTTCGTTATCGATGTGACCCAGGACTCGTACAACAAGGGCTTTTTGGAGGCATTCTGCGACGGTATCTTGAGGGCATTGTACGCGCCTGATCCGGCGGACGAGCAGCCTGCGGACGAGAATGGCGAGCTGCCGCGCAGGATACCCCCCGGCGCCAAGGTCGGCTTTATCACGTACGACAAGGAGGTACACTTCTACAATGTCAGCCCGGCCCTCGAGCAGGCCCAGATGATTGTCATGCCTGATATCGAGGACCCCTTCGTGCCGTTGGGCGATGGACTTTTCGTTGATCCCTACGAGAGCAAGGCCGTCATCACCTCTCTGTTGACCCGCCTGCCTCAGATGTTTTCGACCATCAAGAACCCCGAGCCAGCTCTGCTGGCAACGCTGACTGCCGCTGTGGCTGCCCTGGAGAAGACAGGAGGCAAGATCTTTTGCTCACTGTCCGCACTGCCGACCTGGGGCCCCGGCCGTCTCTTCATGCGCGACGACGGCAAGCACCCCGGCGGCGAGCCCGACAAGAAGCTCTTCAGCACCGAGCACCCCGCCTGGCGCAAGATGGCCGACAAGATGGTCTCGATTGGCGCCGGCGTCGACTTCTTCATGGCCTCTCCCTCCGGCGGCTACCTCGACATCGCGACCGTCGGCTACGTCGCCGCTACCACCGGCGGGGAAACCTTCTACTACCCCAACTTCATCGCCGCCCGCGACACGGCCAAGCTCGCCCTCGAGATCAAGCACGCCGTCACCCGCGAAACAGGCTATCAGGCCCTCATGAAGGTCCGCTGCTCCAACGGCCTGCAGGTGTCCGCCTACCACGGCAACTTCGTCCAGCACACCTTCGGCGCAGACCTCGAGATCGGCGTGATCGACGCCGACAAGGCCTTGGGTGTCACCTTCGCCTACGACGGCAAGCTCGACCCCAAGCTCGACGCGCACTTCCAGGCTGCTCTGCTGTATACCTCCTCCTCCGGCCAACGCCGCGTGCGCTGCATCAACGTGGTCGCCTCCGTCGCCGAGAACGCCCGCGACTGCATCAAATTCGTCGACCAAGACGCCGTGGTGACCCTCATCGCCAAGGAAGCCTCCACCCGCCTCGCCACAACGAGCGCGACTCTCAAAGACATCCGCGCCTCCATCCAGGAGCGCACTATCGACGTCCTCGCCAACTACCGCAAGCACTTCCTCACCGTGCCGCACCCCCCCGGCCAGCTGGTCATGCCCGAGCGACTCAAAGAATTTGCCATGTACATGCTCGCCATGCTCAAATGCCGCGCCTTCAAGGGCGGCGCCGAGCCCACCGATCGCCGCGTCCACGATATGCGGCTAATCCGCTCGGTTGGTGCCCGTGAGCTGTCGTACTACCTCTACCCGCGCATCATCCCGATCCATAACCTTGCCCCCGAGGACGGGTTTCCGGATGAGCAGAGTGGAGGAAACCTCCGCATGCCAGCCTCGCTGCGCGCAAGCTTCGCGCGGGTCGAGCCCGGCGGCGTGTACATCGTTGATAATGGGCAGATCTGCATCCTCTGGTTCCATGCGCAAACATCCCCCAACCTGCTCATGGACCTGTTTGGAGAGGACAAGACCAGCTTGCAGAGCCTCGATCCGTACGTCAGCGAGCTACCGGTGCTGCAGACGCATCTGAACGCGCAGGTGCGGAATATACTCGAATTTTTGAGGACCATGCGCGGGAGCAAGGGGCTGGTGGTGCAGATTGCTAGGCAGGGGATTGATGGGGCGGAGTTTGAGTTTGCGAGGATGTTGGTCGAGGATAGGAATAATGAGGCGAGTGGGTATGTGGATTGGTTGGTGAATATACATCGGGGGGTGCAGTTGGAGGTGAGTCCGCATGGTTAAATTTTTCTTTCTTTCTTTCTTTCTTTTTCCCTTATCCCTGTAGTTTTTTTACCCGTGAGATTGATGGAGTTGGAGGGTGAGTGTGGGCTTTGATGCTCGGTCATCGGGGGTTGTTTCGGAGCATCCATATACTAACTTTATTTGTAACAGCTTGCCGGCCAGCGGAAACGTGAAGACGGAGGCAGCCACGACTCGAGCGGTCTGGCTGGTTTCTCCGGGTTGAGGCCAATGTATTGGTAAGGAGGTAGTTGGTTGAAGGTTGGAAGAAGAGGAGATGTGTCGAATAGGTGCAGGGTTGCGCGTGTGAACAGGCTAGGCTGTAATGGAATAGGATGGAATGAGCCGCTCAGGAGGGACCTGAAGAGAAAGCGGGCAAGCATGGTACTATACAGTTCACCCAGATAACGTGTGGGTGCATAGGCGCAGATATATACCGTTGACACAAATACAGTTGCCGTAGTCTCTCATGTGATCTTCTTCTCGTTTCGTCTTGCCCAGGCTATGAGACGTTCAAGTCTGCCTCCTGGTACCGGTCTCTCGAAGTACCTGCCTATGGCTCGGCTTCCTGATCATGGGTGATTGGAAAACCATATTTATGCTAGCCACGTTATTTTATTGATAGTCTCTAACGTCTTAAGTTCCTGGGCGGTTGGAATGCTGTCTTTTGTCTCCTTACCTTGCGTTGTCTTCTGCGATCTGTCTTTCCTGCCTCCTGTGTTACTCCATCTAGACACCATAACCACGCCTAATCTGCAAAAAGTAACATAAACAAACAACGAGAAGATAAAAGGAGCGAACAGGCAAAGAAGGGGAAAAAAAAAACAAGAAAAACATACAACACGGGGGATTCCCCAGTCGTCACCGACCTGAGTACTAACCCCGCCCTCAGTGGCTTGTCTATGGGAGAGCGGACGGGATCCCGAATTTTCCACTGGGTATGGTCGTATGTGCTAGGCATGAGCAACTGGTCTGTTAATATACCTAGAGGCCCAGAGATACAGCATTGCCATGAAGCATGTCGGTTGTTGACGTCTAAACGTGATGTTTAAGGTTTGCGTCGACGCTAACCCAGCAGGCTTTGATTACGTAATTAAAAGACAGGGGGTGTCATCACTCCTTAGCTGCGGCCGTCCTGGCACCTCCTGTGCTAACAATCCCGCGGTATAAGGGATCCCAGCGCCATATGACACAATCTCCCGAGCCTCTTCTGGCTACGCGGCAAGAATCTCGGCCGTTCGATGTTAGTGTCAATGTCAACCTTAACTCACCGCTGTCCCCCGGTTCAGATGATCAAATCGTGGGGGCTGTGCTAGCTTTACAGACTGCAGCCAGGAAAGAGAGTCTGTTGACTCAGCAGAGTTGACAGGGACGTTATCACTGGTTACCGTAGTCATTAGAAGAGCTCAGGCTTTTCGGAGACGGGCGTTGGGATCGGATCATTGAGACTCCGGCAAATGCTTGCAGTTGGGACAGTGCAATCACTGGGGGTATCTCCTTGCTTGAGAAGATTAAGATACGTACAAATCAGTCTTTTTGGCATATAATGATACTCGTTGGTTACATATCGATATATTGACGGCACATGCCAGGGACTGGAGCGGGAAGAAGTGGGGTGATCGTCCTCCCAAAATTGTTAAGCCTTTTTTTTTTAAAGTCCGATCCTAAGAGATAAGCTTGGTAGTGTTGGTTCAAGGTGTTTATGCTCTCTTTCGGGGATTGACAATTGCGCGGGGGCGGAATGTCCGCGTCATAGGTCAAATGTAGTGCAGATCTTTCTTGAGCCGCAATCCTCTTCTTCTACGTTATCCCTAAAGCTCTATGCTATCCTCTTCTTCTTCGTCATACCTTCCTAGCCACGTTTCGTTGCTGATTTTCAGAGACAAAATGCGACCCTTCCGTTCTGGAAAGCTAACAAGCGGTGAAGTTAACAGGAACTCAAACCCCTCAATATCACCAAGTCTAAGACCTACTCCTCGTGTCTCCCGCTCTTTGCTCTGCATGTAACGTTGCACAACCTTACTCCCGCTGCCCTTAGCCACTCTGTCACAGGAGTTCCCTAGCCTTGCACCCCTGAGACATCCTCATTAAGAAAGAGCTGAAGACTGTTGGCGATAACTCCGACACTACCATACATGTTGTTGAAGAGGACACGGCGAACTGCATACCGATGTGGAACAGGTTAATCACTCAGAGTCCTGTTTGAGATCGAGTTGGACAGATCGCGATCCTGTTGGTTTGTTGAGTTTTGTGCATGGTGATTTGCTTGAGGGTTTCACGTCTTCAATGGGCTGCCTGGTGTAGAAGTTAAGCTCTCATGTCTAACTTTTGTGGGCTGCCCCTGTTGGTTCATTCTAGCATCCTCTTCACGGTCGTATAACCTCATTTGAGTCTATGTCCTCGTTCCTGAGCTCTCTTCCTGAATAGTGCCACCCATCCATTCCCATTGGGAGCAGTCCAGGATTTCGGAAAGTCCGATCTGTAAAGTTGTGGACCACGGCCCAATCGGCAGTTGGTAGTCAGTGTCAATTATCGGCCGCAAGGCAATTGGAAGATCGCTGGCGGTGTTCGCTACCTGATTACTTACCTAGTTGTATCTCATGGAGTGGCGGATCATCACAACCCATCACGAAGTGAATAGCATGACTATCCCCAGCAGGTGTCTGAAATGACCGGGTCAATTTCGCACTGAAGATTATCTGAGTTTAATTACCCTTGTTTGCTACGGGACGGTGAAATGCCGGTGAATACATGCATGAATCTCTTCCCTTATGCCTTGATTTGCCCCCTTTTGAAACCAAAAATTGTTGTGGCTTTTCTCAACTCCCTCTAAGCCTTTGTTTCTGATCTCTCAATACCATCATAGCCCCCCCACCAGCTACCGGTTACTCACCGAGAACTTCCCCTCCACCCAACTTTCACATCTAACATCCATGCATGTCACATGCAAGTCACCCAACCCAGCATGTATGTTTTGCATCACGGGGTCGAGGCAGCCACCAGCGCTTGATGAGCTATCACCATGTTCATGAAACTGCTTGCTCATAGTTCAGCTCTTTCTCAATGGCATTGTTGGATTGCATTGTTGGCAGTTGCTTGTTCCATCAGAGTTGGGCTCCTTAACTTCCAGACAAGGATAGAGTCGGACTCAAGATGGTCTTCTTTGTCAATGAGTAACATAAGATAGAGTATGTCCCCAGAACGCAGATGCAAGTTTTTCCAGTGAGCCACGAGCAAGGGAAACCGACACTCTGTAGTTTCGGGGGCAATTTCAGCCTACCTAGACACTCCCAAACAAAGTTTCTTTCCTCCCCATCCCTCACACCTTCACCCTATCTCATCAACTTCCCCACACAACTCTAGGTTTAGGTAGTCCCCGAGGGATCTATACCCTGTCTCTCACCCACAGCAGCCAATCTGTGTAATCGCCGACCAGCCAACCCCTCAATATCCCCCTTAAATCTCCCATTGGTCGAACCCTAAGAGCCACAAACGCCTTCTGCCCAATTCTGCCACAGCCGCAGCCGCAGCCTTATCTGTTCTCAGATCCTGATCTCTTACCCCCTCAATCCTCAAACAGGTGCCTTAGATGTAGTCAGTCCCATTTTCTGAAGAGAACCATCCTCATGGAATCTATTAGATAACTATACAGTAGCACATATTGGGCATGTCTCATCTACCAACACATGTCTCACATTTATGCTATTGGCTGTAAGTGTGTTGAGTGCCAAGCGGCAAGTGTAAAACAGTAGAGTGCAATAGGATACATAAGGTGCGCTGCCTATTTCGCGGAGTGTACGGCGATGGAGTGGTTTCCATATGCAACTGCATTGGAGAGAACAAAGGCAATGTTTGTGATGCCGATATACCCCGGGCACGGAATTCAAACCCGGTCAGTAGACCGAACTAGCCGCCGAGTCGCCGAACGGCGCCGCTGATCATCGGGCTGCAGAGACGCCATGGACTGGGGGCCGTAAGCGCGTTTGCCGCGAGCGGTGAGAGGTCAGGTGAGGTTAGAGGATGATCTTTTATGCATATTACTCGTAACTAAGACAGAGAGGTGTACCTCAAAAAGTGGTAAATTAAACTAGACTACATCATGACAAGGTTAAGATGATCATGAGATAAAAGTACTTTTTTTTCATCAGCAGCATCGAGCAGACGGGTTCCGTCTTTTTCTGATCCGTATCCACGAGACAATGATTTAAGCAGATATCCAAGCCGTGCATAATGTAGCAGTTGAGCAGGTTAACTCAAGAGAGAATCAATCCCCATACGTAACCAAAAAAAAAAAGCATTGAACCAAACGCCGTACCAAAACCCCTAGTTTGTAAGCAAATTGCACAGCTCATATCTGGCATCCGGTTGTGCCATATACCGCGTAATCTCATCGGCATCAAACACCTGCGAAAAGATCTCAAAATCCGTCGGACACCCACTGACGCTCGACGATGATCCTGAACTGGACGACGAGCTCTTGGACGACTTAGACGACCGACTACTACCGGAGCTCCTGCCCGCCTTCTTGGCAATATCGTCCAAGATGAGCTGCGCGGTTCTCTGGTCGGGATCCTCAAAGACAAATGCGACGTAACGGATGCGGCCGCGCAGGTCCGGATCGTACAGCAGGACCTCGCGCCATAGCTCAGCCAACTCCTGCGGCGGGTTTCGGTAACCATTGCCGAGGCCAAAGTCGCCGATGACCACAGTGTCGTAGTTGTTAATGGCGCAAATGCGCAACGCGCCGCGCAGCTTCTCCTTGACAATCTCCCGCTCGTCGGTAAAAGAGTATTTGGTGCCGTTTTGTGTCAGCTTGGGCCAACGCGGGGGAGGGACTGAGACGACCGGAAGTGAGCGCCATTGTTCGAGCGGCTTATTTTCGTATTTGTCATGGGGGCCACGGAAAACGACTGCGAAGGGTTAGTTAGCCACTGGCTTTGAAGGGCGTATCACGGCAACACTGACCAACATCAGGAGAGTAGATCCCAGCATAGATCGGGATGGGATAATGGCTGCCAACTGCTGACTCTGGCCCCGGAGTGGGCAGGCAGGCTGCCAGTGTACTTCTGCGGCATAGACGCTCTTCATAGCCAACAACTCCGGTCTCCCAGTCACCGCCGGGCCGCTTGTCGTTCGCAGCGCAGATGAACGGGATCTGTCGCCCAGCTTCAGCGGCCCATTGGAGGGCAACGTCGACCGGGTCGCCAATTTGGACGTCTGGGTCTATCAGTCATGAACAATGAGATACCTGCAGGTTAACTTACAGAAGGTAGGACGGGAGAGGTCAACCGGTCGGTCATCGAAGTTGATCTGGAGGAGTGGTTGAAGATAGATGTACGAATACGTGCGCCATGTCGATGCGTACTGGTTTTTAATCAGGGGAATGTAGTAGCGCTTGGCCTCGGAGGCGACCTCGGAAGGCTTGGGCTTGGACTTGGAGCTTGAAGCGGGCATGTTGAACTAGTATGCGGGGGTGAGAACTTTAGAGTGGTTGTTCAGACTTGTGATCTTGCTTGACGGTGATCTTAGTGTTGGGGGTCATCAAGGAGAGAGAGTCCTCCTATATATACACGTAAACGATCAGCGACTCGAGATAAAGTCACAGAAATAAGCATACCTCCAGCCAAATGCGAAGTAGATGCAGAATGTAGACCGGACGGGTGTGTAACTATAGTCTTAGACAAGAAACACAGTAATGATAGCGCTTCATACTGCCCTGCAATCCACACAACAGCAAAGATCTGAAAGATCGCCGCCTATCCGGTCTCAGAAGCGCAGGATCTCAACGGTCTTGATCGATCTGCGTCCGTTCCCGGAGGCCTAGTCGCTTCGGACGTGGTCATTGGCGTTAGCAGCTGATGTTGATGCTTGCTGCCGAGACTGTGGCTGGTGACTTTATTGCAAAAGTGGATAACGCGGATGCTGTGCTTCTTGACGTGCGAGATCTTGAAAAGATCTTGTATTCCAGTTCGGACGCCACCTCGGCGCCAGAGACATGGTCGGCTTGCTGTTGTCCCCCGTGACAGTGAGTCTTGTTTAGGAGTTCTCTAGTAAGTTATGGGGACCCGACGGTACTACACTTGAGCGGCAGACCGAGAGTTGAAGTTACGAGTCCGTAGAGCCCGATAAAAGGCGGGAATGGTGCTGAAACAAAGCTGCAGCTACGCCCAATGGGTATATTTGCTTACTTGCCAACATTTTGGCCAACTGCCGCTCTGGTAGGTAGGGAGGGGGGGAGGGGCGAAGATCAGGAAAAAGATGCCCGAGTTCATCACACAGTTACCTGAAAAGTAACCTGAGTACAAAAATGGAAATCTAGTGATTCAGGTACGGTGACAGCATCGGCACTTGAACCTCTGCTCTGGGCCTGTCGACAGAGTTACCAGCGGTACCTAGGTGGGTAAAACAAGGTTGAAAGCTTGTCTGACTCTCTCCACCAAGGCAACCCCGCGATATACAGGAATGAGGGGGGCTCGTTGGCGTCACTGGCGTCGTGTGGCTTGCAGGTTGATGCAATGGCTCTCAGATCTCAGATTCGGCCACTTTCCGGCGGAGAAGCCGATTCGGGGGCCAAGGAATTTTTTGAGATCATTTTCACAGTTACTGCATGTTTTTGAGTTTGGTTTATCTTTCGCCACATCATTAGTGTTGTCGTCGCCATGGACTGCCATTATTCAGGGGAAAGAAACGTTGCAGCTGACAACAGTTACACTTGTCTATGTTGCCTCTCTAACTGCAAATTCTGTCTTTGGCAGGTAGAAAACATATTTTTTTTTTGCAACGATGATAGAATGGAAATGCACACTTTGTCAGAGGTGTCTTGGAGAGTAGGTGAAGTCAAACTTGGAGGACCTGGTGGGCAACAAAAAGCAAGGGAAGCAGGTGGCCGGTTGGCTCACGCTTCTGTGGGGACCGATTAGATCAGGCAGGGCAACCAATCACAGAGGCTGTCCGCTTCCAGAACGGCAAGTGCCCAGAAGCCAACCAGCAATCGGTTGGCCGATCTGGGTGGGTCATCTCAAAACGGTAAAGCGCAGGAACAAAGTTCCTATCGACTTGCCAAGCCTTGCCAAGTCCTCAACACGCGAACCCCATCCGGATCAAAAATTACGATGAATATGACTGGTCCAATCACAAAGCATCGGACGAGGGAGACTCGCGATGAAGCCGATGAGAATCTGAGTTTGAGTTTGATCGCAGTGAATGCGTGAACCCGCAACGGCATTGAAAACCAACGGAGACCGCAAAAATTTGAGAGATCGAATCAGATCCGAGATCAACTTATTTGCCGTTGCATCTCACTTCTGGCCGATGCGGCTGACCGGCCTGTGCTGATCTTCGACTATCTGCAACGCTCTCGATTGGCCGCTGCTCCCAGCGCAGTCGCGAACAACAAACAACTCGCTCGTCACATCGCTGCTCTTCATATCATCTTCCTCAACAATGCGGGTCGCCTCCGTATTTGCTCAGCCGTTTGCTGCCTGGCGGGTCTGGGCCCCGCGCCGAGTCTGCCGACGGTGTCTCTCCCAAAAAACGGGCCGTTCGGTTGCTCAGATGCTCCAGTGGAAGCCGGCCGAGAAGGTCGACGGCGTCGTTGTCAACGGCTATGTTCGCTCCGTGCGAGCCATGAAGACTCACCACTTCATCTCCCTCACCGACGGCTCCTCGCTGGCCCCTCTCCAGGCTGTCGTGCCGGCCGACCATGCCGAAGGGTGCGACTTTTCCCGTCTTCTTCCCGACACAGCCTGTCTAGATGCTGGCCTGTCTCGGCTGTCCTGTCACGGACTGTCACTGATGCCGTCTGCAGCCTTACTGTCGGTACCGCAGTCCGCCTAACGGGCGCCTGGGTTGCGTCTTCCGGCAAAGCTCAGAGCCATGAGATGCAGGTTGAGAAGGTCGATGTTCTGGGGCCTTCTGATCCAAAGGTATGAGTTGATAATCTCAGCTGGATTAAAACAGTTTCTGACATCACTTGCGCCAGACATTCCCCATCCAAAAGAAATACATGACACCGGATTATCTCCGAACCATCCCCCACTTGCGGCCGAGAACCACCATGAACTCTATTCTGTTGCGGCTACGCTCCGACGTCATTGCCTGCCTGACTCAATACTTTGCAGATCGTTCATTCACCCAGACTCATCCTCCCATCATCACGTCCTCTGATTGCGAGGGCGCCGGTGAGGTCTTCACCCTGATGCCCGCCAGCGACGCTGCAGCAGCCGAATCTGGCGACTCGGCCACCACGCGGGCCGCCCAAGAACACTTCTTCCGTTCCAGGAAGTACCTCACCGTGTCAACTCAACTGCATCTCGAAGCTCTGGCCCAGTCTGTTGGCAATGTTTGGACGCTCTCTCCCGTCTTCCGTGCTGAAAAGAGCGATACCTCACGACACCTCAGCGAGTTTTACATGCTCGAGGCCGAGATGACCTTTGTCGATGACCTAGGTCCCGTCATGGACCTGGCTGAAGACATGCTTCGCCATCTGAGCATCAGTCTTTACAACAGCGCCTCTGTCAACGACCTACTATCGCGCCCTAAGCAGCTCGGCCAGGACCTAGCCCCAGCAGACGATGTGCGGCGCCGCTGGGAAGGCTTCATGCTCCAAAACTGGCCACGCATCACCTACACAGACGCCATGAAGGTTCTGAAGGATGCGGCCGACAAATTCGAGCATAAACCCGATTGGGGCACCGGCCTGCAATCCGAGCACGAAAAGTATCTGGCTGAAGTCATCGGCGGCGGCTCACGACCGGTCTTTGTGACCAACTACCCCCGAGACATCAAGGCCTTCTACATGCGGGAATCCCAAACTCAGCCGAACGGCCCCGATGCTGCTACTCCCGGCGCCACTGTCGACTGCTTCGACCTGCTGGTGCCCGAGTTCTGCGAGATTGCCGGCGGTTCGATGCGCGAGCACCGTCTGGACCCGCTGCTGCAGGCCATGAAGCGCCACGGTCTCGAGGGCCCCGGCGCCGAGGTACTAAATTGGTATGTTGACCTGCGCCGTTGGGGTTGCCCCCCGCACGGCGGCTTTGGCGTCGGCTTCGACCGTCTGCTTAGTTATCTGTCCGGTGTGCAGAGCATCCGAGACATTGTCTCCTTCCCACGGTGGTTTGGCCGCTGTGATTGCTGAAAGAGAGACATGGCAACGGGTGTAGAACTGGAGCGGACAGTCACTCCTCTGAACTTGTGGCACTCATCCTTGGATTTTCCTGCCATTCCCTGACACCGCCGCCACCGTATCCTGAAGGGTACATGCATGATCTGATCTAAATCTTTCTGTCTGTGGCACTCCGTCTGCCGTATCGGTGTCGGCGTCGGGGACCGGAGATCGTTCGAAACTGTCTCGCGATCGTGAACTTCGCGTCTCGGGCATGTGCGAGATTCTGCCCCTCTTCAAATAAGATTTTGTTATTCAAACGGCATACACGATCCATCCCGTCTATATCCGAGCCCGATATCTTGCTCCTCGCACAGCTAGAGCATCTAAGACATATAAAAAAGACAAGATGGATGACCCCAGTCCTAGAACAGCACGCGAGCTGCCGACCGTTACGTTTGATTCTCCCGGCCCGAATCTTCTCGAAACAAACATGGCCTGTGTGTAACGTCCCTCGATCATATAGTCTATTGCGGACGGCAAGCCGCCCGCCAGTTCCTTACGGCCTTAGCTAAGGAGTGAGGGCAAATGGCGGCCTCGCCGTTGGGTTTCTTTAACACGACTGAAGTTCAAATTCGGGATTCGAAGTCTGTAGATGATGGTTTCGAGGGTAAAGATTCTTTTTTTTTTTACACCAGGCTGCTTTGCCTTTGAGCTCGTGATTCATCAGGGCTCGGCTACGTGCATAAAAGAGGGAGGTGTCTAGCGGTGAAGGCATCATATTAGAGGCTGGCTTGGAGAGATAGAGGCAGATACCCAAACCATTCACTGTACTATATTGCAGTAATTGTACAAAATGCCTTTCTACAAGCGACTCTCGAATGCTTGAATGCTCTCATACACTCTCCAATTACAGATATCGTAAAGCATAAGCTCCACCATTCAGGCAAACAGCGACACTCACAAAGTATCCCACAATACGTCTTTACTTTGCGTTGGGCTGATGATGGGCTCATGTGACTAGCGCGTGGCTACCATCCAGCGCAGGATGTGAACCGGGTTCCTGAGAAATAACTTCTCGGGAGCTCTGGGGAGACCTGTCAGCTGAGACGCCCTTGGGATAATTCTTTTTGTGCCCAAAGCTTCCCTTGACTTTCGTCCGAACCTTTGTGAGGATGCCCTGTCAGCCAGGTCTTTCTGCCTGGCGGCGGTGGGGGTGATTGGGGGTTTGTCCACAAAGTCGGACTTCTCAAAGTACCCTGGATTTCAGAAGACTGCGATACTAGATTTCGATAATATCTAGGTTTGCTTAACAACTGAGCAATTCAAATCTGAGGGTAGACGTACTGGGACGGCCCTCTTTGATGCTACTGGCTTTTCCGACGCTGCCGTGGACGTAAAGTCTTCAGCCAGACACATAACATTTGCAAAGCCACAAGATATCTGCAGCTATCATTTTTGTTGCCTGCGGTCTTATTCTGAGGTCTAACTGTTTAGGAAGGTAGACAGCCATCAATGGGGCTCTGTGGGTGGGGAGCTAGTCATGTATAATAACATCTGCGTTACACCCTCCTCCCAGAGATCTAGAAGCTTAGCTGGTTTGTAGCCTCCTCGATCTACCGTGCTGCAGCCTAAGCTAATCCCTATTGCTTTCAAGTTAAACTTTTTGAGTCTTGGCTGCTTGGCAACCGGATTCTACGTCTCTCTCAGCACTCCCTACGCATCCATCATATTGACTCGTTACAAGTCCACGGGGCCCCAATTCATTGAATGATTTATGCAGACTCCTGAAGGATCGTCGTTTAACTCAAGATTCACGCATGGAACAATCAACATGCCAATCTCGGCCCGTGAGCCGCTCGGTTGACCCGGGTAAAAACGGACAACAGTCCATCGTTGTCTCCCATTAACCCCCAAATTCACTCGGTTGACTCTTGGTGCTTTATGCGAAGGCGTTGCTTTGCTGCCAGAATTCACGGAGAAACACTTACCTCCTCTTTTGCAGCGATTGATGCACACGGTCCGTTTGAAGTGGATCACATGGCTGCCTGGCTTGATGAACCTCTAGATATGTCCAGAAACCAGGCAACCAAGTATCACTGGAATATCCATCTGACAGGCATTGATTGCACGGCATAGCCATATCACACCTCCTCGTATCCATGAAGCGCTTCAAGCCCCTCAACCTACCTAACTATACGAGCAGTATCAACCTGCACCCAAATCATCCCAGATCACCCCCATCCCGGTTCTTCCGCTCCCCTACCTACCGTTTCTACATCCATTATTATCGCCAATTCATCGGCACATGCAATAGATATAAGCCTCTTCCATTTTACCCGGGGCCAAACCTTATCCACTCCGCAGGGAGCGGGGTGGCGTCTCGCTTGCAACGCTGTATTCCCGTGTCCATGCGACGAGCAGACTATGATCCTCCGGGATCGCGGGACCGGGTATATTGGCTTCTTAACGGCTTCTGGAAGGACTGTGAATGCTGGGGCCGCATGGAGTTTGCCGTTGGATGGGGGATCTCCACCTTCCCGTGTTGTGTCTGGAACCATGCCGGCGCTGGGACGTACGCAAAGCATAGATCGACGAAACTCGTAAGGGGCCTAGCTGAAACGCCGAGATCAGGATGCTGCCTGGCAGGACCTACCTACCTTTGGGCTATATCCCGTGTTAGTATACCAACGGCATGGTTTAGATGACCAGATCATGTCCCTAAAAAAATCGTCTGGCGAACAAAAAGCTGGCGTCATTTTGACCTCCTCCATGACGATGTCTCCGCCCATCCAAATCTATCCCCAAACCAACGCCACGATATGAAACTCCCCTTAGCCAAGCCGGGCCAAGAACACGACATCCCAAATCTTCATCTCGTTTCGAGCGTGTTTCGCACACGTATTCACAGTCAGCGAATCTCCCACAAAGCCGGAGTGGGGAATGGCCCGACGGAAGAAGCTTGATGTCGGAGCCAAGCTTTTGGCGATCTCCTCGTTTTGTGTCTTGGCCAAGCACTGCCTGCCTGCTTAGGACGAGGATAATAACGTTTGTGGATGCCTGTCCAACGGTTGAGTTAGCGTTGGGGTAAGCAAGAGCTACGTTGCAACGGTTTGTGGGGAGAACTAGAAAGGGTAAGCGAGGACGGGATGGTATCCGTATTGTATGCTTTCTCAACGGCGTAGGATTGCGAGGGTAGCGATGGGCGACGGGAGATTGGTGTTCCCAAGCTTTGGTGTCCATATTGATGGAAGAGCAGACAGAGGAAGGTGTCAACATGCAACGAGGCTTGTGAACAAGGCACAGTAACGTTGGCGTGTCACCTGTGGCAAACCTCTCTCTACAAGCTCCGTTGACCCAAGGTTGTTGTCCTCACAAAGGTTCTGGGGTCCTTCCCATGGTTCTATAGCCTTGGGTATAACCTTCCCAGAGTAGCACCGAAGTCATGCGATGTCAAAGTTTGACCCATACTTGGCTTCATCAATCACAGATGTGATATGGCCGCTTGGCACCTATAGACATGTCCAACGGGATAGATTGATGGCACGTCAGTATACGACTATACGGCCTATTCAGGAATTGCGAGTACCGCTGGCAGTAATAGCCTGGACCCAAGCCGCCGCCGATAGGTGCCCGGCTTGAGAGAAGCACAACATTGTTGAACTCCCCGCCTCCCCTTCCCCCCCCTCCCTCTCACCTACATTGAGCGTGCCACCTTAGTGCTTGGAAGCATTGCATGGGCTGTGTAGCTGTTGGCGCCCCTTTAAGGCGGTTTTGGATCCCTTGATGTCGAAGGTAATATCGCGCAATGCCAGCACTAGGTAGGTTACTCAGTCTGACCAACCGATGTAGGGCATCGGCATCGGACCTTGATCCGGGGTTTCCGGACCCAAACCGACGGGTGCAATCCTGACCCCCACGAGAGAGCCCATAACCTACAGCGTCGAAGTCTGCTCAAGAAAAGAGGCTGTTTCAGAAATGCAAAGGTTCGTTAGGACGCGTCAGCATCGAGAGCAAAGCTCTTCTCAGACTGGTCAGATCGGGGTTGTCGAAATGACCATGCTGGGCTATGAATGGCCGGCCAAGGAAATATATGTGGGGGAGGGCTGGGGATTCTCACGAAACTACCTGTGTGCCAAGCATTGCTGGACCTGGAGAGGCTTGCGAGCAGTGTGTCGACAGGCGGTTGTTGTGTGACAAGGCTTGCATGTCCCGGGACAAGCTCCGTCTGTTGAGTGTGTAATTGGTGGGCGTTCATGAGAGGATCCAAAAGGACCAACCAACAACGGACAAAAAAGGATTTTGATCATTACCGGTCAGAAGCTTCCATCAGTATATTTTTCCCTCCAGAAGCCCCCGCTTGCCAAGGACAGTAAGTCATGAGGTTGACAAAGTATGGTCAGCATTTCTTTTCGACAGAACGTTCCATTGGCAATACATCCACACCAAGTGTAACCCATCCCTGGCAGAAATTGGCCACACGAGGGGGGAAAGAAAAGAGGCTCGCGTTCACGAAATAAGCTTAAGCGGACGGGTACTCGTTGAGGGGCGAATGTGATTGGGCTGCGATATTAAGTTGGCAGACGGCACAGGACTGACATGGTGGATGGACAAATTGATCCAGGTCAACCTACTGGGCTGCTCAGCCCGAAAGAAGTCAGCTCGACCAGGCGCTTGGGTTAATGACTCGATTTCAGGACAAACGGAGCTTTGACTTGACATCATAGGATCGTCCATGATCAACGACAGAAGAAACCCGTGGCTGTTAGACCGAGCTGGGTAATTGATAGCCAGAGGAGTTGACAAATCCTGGATATTCTTGTCCTGGAAAAGCCGTCCGAGAAGTCGGCTGCACAAAAAAAAAAAAAAGCCAAGTCCTGCAGGTTATTTGTTTGTCAAGCATCTGATGCTTACACCACCTACCTTGAGTTACAACCAAAGCAGGACAAGCCAGCAGATGAAATGGCGGGGACAGAGTTTGATTGGCGTTCTGCGTGCCAATGCCTGGTCAACAAGTGCGACCAGCTTACTCT